GGATCATCTTCCATCTTCTGGGGTCATCACAAATCCTCTCCCGAATGTTTGCTGGTAAATCCGCCAAGTCATCCCTCTTAATGTTGTACCGATAAAGGTCTTCCCGCAGAAGGAGGTCGAGAGGAATACCTCCTCCTAAGACCTGCACCGCCTCATGGGACACAGTTCTGTATGACCTGGTTACTCTAAGCAGGGCCATCCGCTGGATTGTTGCCAACTTGCGCTTCTGACGGTACGAGAGATTCCGGTTCCATGCGGGGGACGCGTATCTCAGGATACCAACAACTACTCCTTTATAAATGGACATAGTTGCTGGATATCTAAGGCCCCAAAAGGCCCCCCCTATGCGACTGAGACCATTAAGGGCTAAGGTTATCCTATTCCTTAAGTAATCCAAGTGAGGCGTCACGTTGAATTTTTTCCCAATCCTAATTCCAAGATAGGTGACTACCTCACTTGGACATATTCTGGAACCTTGTATCACCAAGGTTATGGGGTGTGCCCTATCGGTCGAACCTCTCAAGAGGATGGCCTGAGTCTTGGAACCCGCCATCCTTAACTTCTTTTTCTCGCACCATTCTTCTACAAGGTTGGCACAACGTTCAGCTTCATATTTTAATCTGGCCCTGCTATTCGAGGCCACTACAACAGCCAGGTCATCTACATATGCAGTGGCGGGGAACCGCTCCTGTTCTAGCACTCCCAGCAACTCGTCAAAGACCAGTTTCCATAGGGCAGGGCCAAGGACAGAGCCCTGTGGACAGCCCCTTTCCACTGTATCTTCTACTTCATAGAAGCTACCTTTAATCTTCAATGTCCTATCGTGGAGATAGCTTCTGATCAAGCCATACAAGTTGCTGGGGGCTTCATGCCTTTGCAACTGCTGGAGTACGCTCGGCCACCAGACGCTATCGAAGGCGGATGATATGTCAAACAGGAGGAGCATAACATACTTCTCCGCCTTCTCTTCAACATCACAGCGCACTCTCAGCAGGGCATCTGCGGTTCCCCTGCCTTTAGAGGATCCGTACTGCCGTGGATGGCTCGCTCTCGAGAAGACTGGCCGTAGGCTGGTGAGTATCAGGTTTTCTAACACCTTGCTCATGACTGGGAGGAGACATATAGGTCTATAAGATTTGGCTAATTGCTTATCTTTGTCTCCTCCTTTGTAAATGAGCTTGACGTTAGCGATTTTCCAGATTCTTGGGAAGTATTCCCTGTCTAGGCAATCATTATAAATAGCCAGCAATCTTTCCTCTATATAGGGAATACTGTTCTTGAAAATTGACGCGTCAATGGTGTCTAAACCGGGGGCACGACCAATCTTTTGCTTGTCCACGGCAGTGCGAAGATCCCATATGTCCAATGGTGGGCACAGGTCCGTGCCGGGAGGGTATACCGTAGTGCGTCTTACGAACTCCTCCTCTTCATTATCTTGAGATGGATCATCCCTGGGGTAAGTCCTCTTCAGGGTAGTCAAGGGCGGCGACCACCATGGGAAAGGTGGTTCTCTCGCTTTGTGGTGCTAGACAGATTCTTCCCTAATGACTTCGGTAACCCTGGATACCTTGTAATCAAGGTCATCTGTATTATCAACATCCGCGAGGTCTCACTCTTCATCCACTAGCTTTCCCTCCAGTCTTCTCTTCGGGTCACATATCCTCTTTCTATACCATGGGAGCATTTTGCGTCCTGTATCAGGTCAAATGCAATTGTGTTGTGGTCGGAGTTTGTTTCCGATATGAGGGTCCAGTCGACAATGTGTCCTAACAGGGTCAGGTAGGCCAACGTAACATCTATCCAACTCTGCTCCTGTTGTCCAGAGAACTTTGGAGTGGCAGAAGGGTCATTAACCACTACCAGTTGGCCTCTTGCAATGAATTCTTCAATTCTGATACCCCTCCGGTCTGTTCGACTGAAACCCCAGGCCATGCTCCAGGAATTGGTGTCCGAGCAGATGATCATATTCCTATATCTTCTAGTGATCGCTTCCATGGCGGATATACCCTCTCCTATATCACTTCTGTTGAGTAAGTATACCGAAGCAAGGATGAAGGCAATACTGCTCCATCTGATGTAGCATGCTGCCTTAGTATACTGCTCGAGACTTATCACATTGAGATTTGGGTTAATAATAATAATAATTTATACGAACGAGTATGACTAAATACAGAATGCAAGGCTTTATTTATTTATCAGGAAAGGAAGGTGGGAGAGGTCTCATAAACATTGAAGAGGCGTGCCAAACACGAAATGACCTTCAGAGAGTACTTCAAACAAAGCGAAGTACCTTTTCATAGGATCATGTGCAATCTTGACCATGGACAAACAACATTACAATTAGCCACCCCAGAAACTGCTGCATCCATTATTTTCACGGACAATGTGCGACTGGAAGAATGGAACTCAAAAACACTGCATGGAAGATTTTTTCACCAATTCCAACAAACTGAAATAGATAAAACATTCTCTACTAGTTGCTTAGTTAAAAGAAATCTATTTTCCGAGACAGAGGGCTTTCTGATAGCAATCCAAGATCAGGTCATAGCAACAAGGTCTTTCTTACGACATGTCTTGAAGCAACAGACAGTATCAGAGAAGTGTAGGCTCTGTGACAGCACGTTCAAGTGTATTCAGCACATAACTAAAGGGTTCGGAGCGCTGGCTGGTACAGAATATCTCAACAGGCATGACGATGTTGCAAAAATTTTTCATCAGGCAATTTGTCTAAAAAGAAAATTAGTGAATAATTCAATACCTTATTATAAGTACAATCCTAAAGAACTTATCCAGAAGGAAGGAGTGAAATTGTATTGGAATCAATCTTTCATAACAGATTATACAGTGACCCATAACAGACCTGATATCGTGTTGATCGATGGTAATATGAAGACAGCTGAGATAATAGATGGGCGATCCCCTACTCATACCTGTACATGTTGACTGATGTAGTGCTGCACTGCGTTTGTGACCTTCTCTGCATGTCCTGCTACGATCCGACGATAGTCTCTGGTTCTTTTTGGTTGAGACCTTGCCTGATAGATGGGAACTCTAGTAGATCAGAAGGTCCTTGAGATTGCTTGGTTTCTGTAGAATACTGGCAATTTCTTGAATTTTGTTGAGCTCATAAGTTTTTCAACGTTTGACAGCCAACGTAATTTGCTGGATGCTGATCGTTACAATTTGCGCAGGTAGCTGGCTTATCCCTAGTTTTCGTGTATGAAGTGGTGTAGTGAAATCCATCGCATTGCAGGCACCCGGATGGTGGTTACAATAAGATTTAGTATGACCCTAATCAGGATAATGCATTTACGATGTTAGAGGCTTCATACCATTTCTTTTACTCTTCTTTTATGACGGTCATAGGTGTTGCATGATGCAAATTTTTATGACTATTCCTGGATATCTGTCATCTGGGAACTGATAAGTATGGAAATCTGCATCTTCTAATCTCAAGCTTATGTTAATTTTTCTGTAATGTCGGGTGTATGGCGACTCCTTGTATAGTAGATTTTGTTTTGAATGTTTTTGGCCCAGCTATTGTTTCTAAAAATTGAAGTATGCTCATGAAAATTTTCCACTCCATTAATAAAAATGGGTTCCACTCCGAAGGATGTTTTTATGTTTTCTTGGGTTGTTGGTAACAGGGATTGAGATTGTCACTAATAACTGAATTAAAATCCGTCTCATTTATCTCAGGTTGAAACGTCCTCTCCCATCTCTGGGACTGATAACTTCTGTATTTCCTTTTCCATAGCATTAATACTTACCGTTCTAATTAAACACTTTTTCACAATTACATAACAAGTTATAAACATTAAATTAGTTATTTTTTAAATACACAAAAAACAGATTAACTTTTATATGTAATAGCAAACACCTGAAGCATCAATTTATTAGGTTGTTTTAATTATTCAATTCAATAAGTCTTTAAAAAAAAAAAAAGAACCTGTACCACTACAACCCATGAAGGTTCTTTGGTTCAATACTATTTAGGGAAATTACTGTTTCAAGGCTGTGCAGGGAGATCGGGCCAGGCTCAATTAATTATTTAATTAAGGGTACCCACTTTGTAGAGGCTGGGTAAGCCCCAGGAAGGTCTCCGTACCCCAGGGTCAGCCCACGGCCAATCAAACAGAATAAATAATTTTTCTGTCATGAGCCAGGATTCGAAACTTGGACCTTAAGCATTGGAGTCTTAGTGCCCTACCACTGAGCTACCCTGTTCCTGTTTAATAAGTCTAAAATGCAATAAGTTTCTCTTTGATTATAAACTATTTCCAGCAAGATTTAAATGTATTTAGTTATTATAAATATTGCTGTTTGTTTTTTTATTATTAAACTTGATTTGGCATATTTTTTAGTATTAAGATATTTTAAAATTAAAACCTCAATTAGGCTTCATCTACTGGACTATAATAATTATTTCAGTCATATTCATTTTTTTGTTTCAGAAAAGTAGCATGAATGAGATCTTGGTAAATTGTCTGAGAACCTAGGTGGGTGGCAGTGCTTCGACCTGTTGTGGATATTGTCAAATACACCCATAATTTAAAAAAAATAAGAGACCTAAAAAATATCAATTAAAACCTTTTTTTTTGGCAGGTCTGAGTAATCCCTCCTACAGAGGGTTATTAATTGTTCTATAGAATACGCTCATTCGATGTTAAAAAATGATGGAAAGTATAGAATACGCTCATTCGATGTTAAAAAATGATGGAAAGTGCAATCAGACTAAAAAATAAATAAATACAAAAGTATTATATCTATGCATCTTATAACATATATTTACTTCAACATTTAATTTTAACCAAAGTTAAATTAGAATTAATCATCAAATAATAATAAGGCTATGTGAACAACAAAATATAAAATATTAATCACTCTCACTTTTAACAAAAAAAATTAGCTAAAATATATAATAAAAAGGTCTTATGCCCTACTGGGCCCAAGTAACTCCAAATTAAGGTATTATATTCCACAAGACATATTCAGTGTACCTGTTTTTTTTTTGAAATATTTTCTATAATGCCATGCTTGTTTAGATGTTCAAAAATTGTGTTTTCATATTCATATGAAGGAAAAAAACAAACAATTCCAGCAGGAACAATATTGCATATATTTACTAATACACGACCAAATTCATTTATCTGAAAATTAAAAATTGTTAAAAATTTTAAAACAAATATAAATCAGTATTGGATGTAATTCAAATTAATTGTCTAAATACTGAATAATAAATAAATTTTAATATGTTATCCAAAGGCTTTTTACAGATGATTTATTCATTATTTAGAGATATCTGTTATCTATTATTCATTATTTAAGATGACTATTTCATTAAAATAAAAACCATGCATATGAAAATTTCATTCACTTCTACACACCAAAAATTTCTGACTTCATTCACCTTTTCTCTTATATTTCATGAAAAGGAGTTTTGATTTCTGTGGTTCAAACTATTTTCAAAAATTTTGAGCTAATCCAATAGGAAACAATTATGTAAACATTTTTCTGAATTTCCATTTTCTTTTTAACTTATATCTTGTGAATAGCTAAACAATTGTTCACATAATAATGAATAAAATGATAATGGTTAACTTTAAAATTATTCATTTTTTAAGATAACAGATCAAAATTTGTTATTTAAAATAAATTTTGCTCTTCACTGACTGATACATATAAATATAAACAAATTAGGAGTTCGCATGTCTGTATTTCCGTTGTTGCGGGGATCACAGTTAAGGAATTCCACTTTGCCTATTTTATATAAATGTTGTTTTAAATAATTAGGGCACATTCTGAATTGTGTGACTGAGTCTCTTCGTAGTTTATCAATAGAGATGTGCCCTTAAGGAGTTACTTCCTCAAGTAACACGGCCCATTGCTTACTGTAAACAGCACTTGTCTGCTCCTGCAGCAGGTTTTTTTTTTTTTTGTAGGCATTTCTCGATTAAGAGTAAGTGTCCTAACTGAAAATATAAGTAAAGGATCCCAAAACAAGGAAAAAATTTCTTCTTATTTTTTTAAAAATTTTATTTCTCTTTAAAAAATTTCCTATAAAGGTATGTTCGTTAAATATATGTTTAGAAGATAATAACATCTAAAAATTTTCATTGTAATGAATTATTTAGATTATAATAAATAAATTAATATGTTTTCCAACAACTTTATTAATGAAATTTAAGTATTAACATTCATATTCAATGTTGTTCATAGTGATTACCTTGAGCATTAAGATAATGGCACTGAACTTGTGTTATTGTTTCAATTGTCCTTTATCATTTTGTAATGTTAATTTTTATATCATTCATAAAGTAGTTGGTAAAATTAACATTATTAAATATATTTTCAGCAAACAACATTCTAATAGCATTCAAAAGTTTCCTTTTTATGTCAACACAATTTTGTTGTTTTACCTTTATGGCTTGAGGTTCTGCAAGAGACTTAAAAATAATATTTTTGTTCAAAAAATTGAAATTTTTATCTGTTTTAGTTTTACATGCTTTTTATTTTAATCTACTTCTAAACTGTTGAAAAAATAGTTTAAACCATGAAAAAACAATCTTTCATTCACACTATAAAAGAGGAAAAGCGACTTTTTTTATTACTATATATCTTACCAATTGTGGCATATTGGGGGAGGGATATATGTTCTAGAGGCACAACTAAGCCTATTCTAAACAGAGTAGGAATGTCCAAATTCATTTTGGGGATCTGCCACAAAATAAATTTATACTGGATTCAAAACTGGATAACTGGATGCAAACTGGCATCACTAGACTTGAGAATAGAGGGAAATTAGGGAAATTTTCACAATTGTTTTCTTTTAGCTTAACTCTAAACTGTCACAAAATTGCTTGAATGGTGAAACACCGATTACCCAATAACAAGATAAAAGAGAAAATCAAATACAAATTTAGAAAAACTTATATTGTTTTTTCTTTTAGGCTACCTCTAAACTGCCAAAAAATAATTTGAACTGTGAAAAATTGATCACCCATTCACCAAATAAAATAGAAAAACACATTGATATTCGGAAAATTAATAGTTTTAAAATCAATACTTTATATTTTAGACTTCCTCTAAAAAGTTTGAACTGTGAAAAAATCTATCACAGATTCACAATATAATAGAGGATAAGAAAATAAAAATTGAGAAAATTTCTATACCATTTTTCATTTTAGCCTAGACCTAACAGTTGGAAAATAGTTTGATCAGTGAAAAACTGATTAACCAATCACGAGATATAAGTTAATAACCAAATGAAAACTTTAAAATTTTTTTTTACATAATTTTAAAGTATATACTTAAGGTGGGACATAATCAGTGCCGGCCTTAGACATTAGGCGCCCCCGGGAAATGACGTCAGATCTCTCCCTCCTCCCTAAAAAAATTATAATAATTTCCTTCTTTTTTCTTTTTTCCTGGGAAGTTGTCAATTTATTAAGTTGCTTGGCAATAATAACTTCCAATTATTAACAATACGAGTATATTTTTAACATTACATGTTACAGTCTAGTTGACGTTTCGGGACCTTTTATTCCCATCTTCAGAACTGCAATTCCAATACTCTTGTGGATGCAAGGCTAAAAATTTTTTAAGTTACAATATTGTGCTTGTTACATTACATATTTGTATTATGTTTGTTACAATAAATTTGTAATTACCTTAATTCTAATGATTATAATAATGTGCTCCATCGTCAATTTTCTAATTTATGTTCTAAATTTTATCATCTAGAGCAACATTCTCCTTTTGACCAATAATTGGGTTTCTGCCATAGTGAAAATTTGACCTTTGGATCTAAATGTTTTATCTGACTATTTTGATTGTTGTTGTTAGTGTTATTTTATGTGTCTGTGATTTCACTTCTATTAAATTTTAATTTTGTTCAGTATGTCTGTATAATGGGTTCCTAAATGTTTAGTGTCTGTTTTGTAGTTGACTGTAGTTCTGTTGTTTTTTGTAATGTGTATTGCTTCAAGTAATTTTCTGTTGGTGTTCTTTGGTTCTGTGCCAATTATTTGTGGTTTGTTGAAGTTAAATTTATGCTGTAGTTTTATACTGTGATGTGCTAAGGCTGTTGTGTTTATGTTTTTTGGATTTTTACAGTTGGTGATGTGTTGTGCGATTCTAGTTCCTAATTGTTTGGATGTTTCACCAATGTAGATTTTGGGGCAGTTTTGACAGTTTAATTTATATATTGCATTTTTCTTGTTTATTGGTTCTATTTTATCTTTTGTGTTGGTGATGTGCCTGCTTAGTTTCTTGTTATTGTATTGTCCGAATTTAATTTCTGTCAAGTCATAATCTTTGAACACGCCTTTAATTTTGTTAGTAAGTTCAGGTATGTATGTCATTTTGTAGTGGTAGTTGAAGTCCATTCTGTTTGTTCTATGTTATCCTGATTGTTTTCGTTTGTTGGATTTGTTTTTTCAAAAAATTGGGTGATGAATTGTTGTGTAGGTTTGTTTATTGTAGTGTTTTCTTCTGGTGTTTTTTGTATTGTTTGTTTTTTGGCTCTAATTTTGTTATTGTTTAGTGTTGTATGTAATCGACTGTACCAAAGTTTGTTGATTAAGTTTATGGGGTAAAAGTTCTCGATAAGTATTTTGTATATTTCTGTTTTTACTAGTGGGATGTAAGGTTTGTCAGTGAGTTCTATTGATTTGTGAATTAGGTTCCTGGCTGTGTTAACTATTTGATGTTTGGGATGGTTTGAGTTAAAGTTAAGAATTCTGTTGCTGGTACTCTCTTTTTTTGTCCATTTAGTAAGTATCTGTCCTTTGTCCATAATTATGTCCATATCCAAAAATCTGAGTCTATTGTTTGTGGCTTTTTCTATTGTGAATTTGATCCTTTTGTTGTACTGGTTGAAGCTTTTCATTATTTCATTTTCCGAGTCTTTTTTTATTATGAGTAATAAGTCATCTATGTATTCTTAATTACAGTGGTTTTTGTTCTAAGTTAGTTAGTTGTGTTGCGATTAGTTTGTTTAAATATATGCCACTTAAATTCGTTGATAGAGTACTTCCCATCCCTACTCCCCAGAGTTGTTTATAGAATTCATTGTTGTATTTGAAATAATTATTTCTTGTACAGAGATTTATTCCCTCGATAAATACTCTTTTGTCTTTAATTTTGGTTTCACTTTTTACACTGTCCCAGTTGTCGTCAATAATTTTTATACATTCATCTAATGGGATATTAGTGAAAAATGACTCTGCATCTAAACTTATGATTTCTATATCTTTTGACTCACATTGGAAATTTTTAATTATTTGTATTTGTCTATTTACCCTAGCTTATGGAGTTTATTAACATATGTATTGACTTTTGTATTTACTTCAGGTATCGGATTGTTCCTTGTTTTCCTGTAAGTGTTTTACAGGATTTAAGTGGCATATATTTAAACAAACTAATCGCAACACAACTAACTTAATTCCTAAATTCCTAAACCCATCTCTCAACTCTCTCAATAATAATAATAACTTTGACATAAAAAATGCTAAAGAATTAAAAAAAATAATTAAAAATTTCCAATGTGAGTATAAAAATTATTGACGACAACTGGGACAGTATAAAAAGTGAAACCAAAATCAAAGACAAAAGAGTATTTATCGAGGGAATAAATCACTGTACAAGAAATAATTATTTCAAATACAACAATGAATTCTATAAACAACTCTGGGGAGTAGGGATGGGAAGTACTCTATCAACGAATTTAAGTGGCATATATTTAAACAAACTAATCGCAACACAACTAACTAACTTAGAACAAAAACCACTGTTAATTAAGAAATACATAGATGACTTATTGCTCATAATAAAAAAAGACTCGGAAAATGAAATTATGAAAATCTTCAACAGTACAACAAAAGGATCAAATTTACAATAGAAAAAGCCACAAACAATAGACTCAGATTTTTGGATATGGACAAAGGACAGATACTTACTAAATGGACAAAAAAAGAGAATATCAGCAACAGAATTCTTAACTTTAGCTCAAACCATCCCAAACATCAAATAGTTAACACAGCCAGGAACCTAATTCACAAATCATTAGAACTCACTGACAAACCTTACATCCCACTAGTAAAAACAGAAATATACAAAATACTTATCGAGAACTTTTACCCCATAAACTTAATCAACAAACTTTGGTACAGTCGATTACATACAACACTAAACAATAACAAAATTAGAGCCAAAAAACAAACAATAAAAAAAACACCAGAAGAAAACACTACAATAAAGAAACCTACACAAAAATTCATCACCCAATTTTTTGAAAAAACAAATCCAACAAACGAAAACAATCAGGATAACATAGCACAAACAAACAGAATGGACTTCAACTACCACTACAAAATGACATACATACCTGGACTCACTAACAAAATTAAAAACGTGTTCAAAGATTATGACTTGACAGAAATTAAATTCGGACAATACAATAACAAGAAACTAAGCAGGCACATCACCAACACAAAAGATAAAATAGAACCAATAAACAAGAAAAATGCAATATACAAATTAAACTGTCAAAACTGCCCCAAAATCTACATTGGTGAAACATCCAAACAATTAGGAACTAGAATCGCACAACACATCACCAACTGTAAAAATCCAAAAAACATAAACACAACAGCCTTAGCACATCACAGTATAAAACTACAGCATAAATTTAACTTCAACAAACCACAAATAATTGGCACAGAACCAAAGAACACCAACAGAAAATTACTTGAAGCAATACACATTACAAAAAACAACAGAACTACAGTCAACTACAAAACAGACACTAAACATTTAGGAACCCATTATACAGACATACTGAACAAAATTAAAATTTAATAGAAGTGAAATCACAGACACATAAAATAACACTAACAACAACAATCAAAATAGTCAGATAAAACATTTAGATCCAAAGGTCAAATTTTCACTATGGCAGAAACCCAATTATTGGTCAAAAGGAGAATGTTGCTCTAGATGATAAAATTTAGAACATAAATTAGAAAATTGACGATGGAGCACATTATTATAATCATTAGAATTAAGGTAATTACAAATTTATTGTAACAAACATAATACAAATATGTAATGTAACAAGCACAATATTGTAACTTAAAAAATTTTTAGCCTTGCATCCACAAGAGTATTGGAATTGCAGTTCTGAAGATGGGAATAAAAGGTCCCGAAACGTCAACTAGACTGTAACATGTAATGTTAAAAATATACTCGTATTGTTAATAATTGGAAGTTATTATTGCCAAGCAACTTTATAATAATTTCTTAAGCTGTTTTATACTATGTACATTTGCTTTAATGATAGGCTAAAATTAATTATTTTAAGAGATTTTATATATGTATTTTTGGTTTCTAACAAGTGGTGAGCACCACTGAAGATTGGCATCCCAGGACTATTGCCGTGGTTGCCCTGCCCTAAGGTCGGCACTGGACATAATAATATGAACTTCGTATATTGAAGAGAAAGTACAATTATCATACAGTTGCTAAAGATGATCTTGAGTCATAGGAGAAATCAAGTGGTTTTCCTGTAGGCCCTTTTGTCAAAACAATTGGTAAGATTTGGTTTGGAGGGATAATATGAGAACAAGAGAATTCCATAATCCTTTGAGGATCAGCTCCACATGCAATAAACAACCTTTCTTTCAGTTCTCCTTTTGGTTCCATTGTGCCACCAGCTAGAATCACACTCCTGTAGATAAATGATCATGTATTATTTTTATTTTACTGGACATGGCTGATTTTTTTATTTTTAATTAATTTAAACAATATGAATTATACACAAATTACTCAAGTAGAAGGTTTATTTTATCTTCCTTTATATCCTCCTACAGTAGAATTTGATACTGAAATTTCACAATTGTAAAGAATATTAGAGAAACAAGGGTAGAATTTTTTTATTTTAATTATTTGATAAAAAAAAATTGTAAAAGATTACAGTAGGTGACTGAAAAGTCAGACGAATGTTTCCGAGTTTGTGAAGAACATGTTTTATATAAAATTAAAGATTACTTAAATGCACTAACCTAAAAAAAAAAAAGTATTATCTAGAGTTTTTTTCATTGCTTCACTGCCAACCTCTTTCTTTTTTCATTTAACAAAAAAATCATGGGGAAGAAAGTTGTTGAATATTAAATGTCCTTAAAAACTAAAAATATATAATGTAACCATTGCTAGAACACATAGTTTTCTTGATATAAGCAGAAAACCAACAAAAAAGTGAACTTTTTGAATGGTAAATTCAAATTTTTAACTCAAGATGTTTATTTCATGTTTTAGGATGATAAATACTATAAAACTAAAGGGTTTAAAGCAGGGCATAGAGTGGCTGTTTGTGAATCTAGTGGGGCATAAGTCTATAAGCTATATTATTAACAATAAAATATTTCCTTCCTATCCTGACTAATCTGTTTTTATTAACAAAAAGTCATTGAATGATTTGTATACAATTCAATTTTTATACAACAATTTTTTGTCTAAAAATCAGTATTTTTTTTATATTTCATGAAAATTTAAAAATCCAAGTATAACATTTCTATAATAAAATACCACTTAGAGCAAGATCATTGATTTCTTTTTCATTGTCTGATATTAAATATACATATTTTTATCTGGCATTAGAAGCAAATTCAGAATACTCACTACTTAATTTTTCTTTGTTTTTAATAAATAATAATTCAAAGTTATTATTTTTTCATATTATTGAGGCATATGAATAAAAAATTTATAGTCAATATGACAAGGGTTTGAAGTTCTATAAAAGCCCTGCATAAAAAAAAAAAAAAAAAAAAAAAGTAGGTGAATAATAGTAATAAGATATTTTAATAACACCCAGTTGATAATATTGTAAACCTAAAATCAAATTAGTGGTTAATACCCTTAGATTTTAGGTTTACAAAATAATCTTTATTATTACTCAGAATCTATCTCTTATTAATGATAAAAAAATCTAGGTCTTGAAGTGCTCAATTTTCTCACAAAACATTGATTAATTATCCTAAAATAAATTTTTTAATTTGCACACTTAATCAAGTAAATGTTTTCTTCTTAAATTATATGTTTAAAAAACTGTTTCATTCTTTCAATTCCTAAGTTAATCCTATTTCCGAAAACAAGAGTTTTCCACCCGAACACAATTATTATTGCTGATTTTGAATGGGCAAGAACGGGGGTTTTCTTCATATGCTTGCTAATGTAACAAGTTGCTAGACACAAAGAATCAAAATTTAATTTACACATTGGTGTACGCAACAAGTTATAAGGATTAAGGAAGCAGAGTAATTTTCTATCTACTGCAATAATCAAGAATTTCATTGCCACATGTTGTCCAGTTTATTTATTATAACAAAAACGCTATCTACTTATAAGTAAACAATGAGTAATTTATAATGATATTTTAAAATACATTTTATTGATATAAACAAAGATTGTAAATAAAAAATATGACCTTGCTTTACTGATGATATCTGTGACTGCGATGGCAGGTTCTAACAGCAGAAATTTGATCACAGATTTACCAACAGTATTTGAAATAGAAACAACAATACGCCCTTCCTTGTTATTAAGTGTCAAATTTTCTAATAAAGAAAGAATAACAGATAAAGGCTGTGAGGATGATTGCTCTGTTTCATCTGAAACAACAGGTTATGATCTATATTTAGAGTTATAACATCCATAACAAATATATAACGTGTAATCAGGAAAATAATAAAATAAAAATGATAATAATAAAGACTAAATTACAATATTACAAATTATAACACAAATATACCAATAAGATAAATTCATATGTTAATATTTTCATATAGTAAGGCCTCTTCTCCACACCCAATAAAATTTCCACTCTTGTCTCCTATAAAATGAATAGTGGTTTACAGTCATTAGTCAACTGCAGGTTACAATAACTCATCAGAATAATTATCTTAGAGTTATACTTATTTTCTCACACCTTCCATTTTCGTTTCAGTGCTACATATGCAAGATGTGAGCTACGTTGCCCATGTTCAAAACTTGCAGCACAAACCATAATGAATAAAATTGACTAAGCCTCAAGTACAATCCAGCCAAAAAATTTTTAAAATAAAGAGAGAATACACAAATTGTTAATTTATATTAACATATGTTGACTATTAGTTTCCTTATATTTTTGAATGTTGCCCAAAATAGGCATATTGAGGGTCGTTGGTCATTCAAGTTGGCTCCCAGACTGTTAAAGTAAAGTTCTCTGACTTTCCCTATTTAATGATAGTTTTCCCAGATCAATATATCTGAGAAAAAATTAAAAATGTCTAATTTATAATTGAATTGATTTGTTAAACATGAAAGAAAATTGACTTCAAAATGAGTAGAGTAAAAAAAAATCTGGTGTGCACACCACACAACTTTCACTTGAATAAAAATTATTTTCTGGCAATGTTGGGTATCTACTTAGGACTCGAGACTTGGCTGAGTTGGGAACGGTCGAGCCTTTTTTGCTGAAGCCTTATAGACTTCTGACCGAGCTCTTTTACAACAGTAATTGGAGCAGTGACAAATTACTGGTTCAGTGAGATTGACCTAGAGAATAGATTTACTGTTAAGATATTCATTACATTATAAAAATAAATGTACAATGATGTGAAAAAGTGTTCGAACAAACCAAATTTTTATAATGTTAAATAAAAATGATAAAATGTTTTAATTTAAAAGTGCTTTAATCTTCTTAATTGTAAACTGATCTAACCAAGCAGACACTGTAGATGTAATATATATTTAAATAAGCATTATTTTTAATTAAAAACAAGACAAGAGAACAATCTGTTGTGTTGACGTTTTGCATCCTCTGAATAATGCTGCCTTATTGTTTAAATGTCACTACTTTGTTATCCACATCAATCTTTACTCCTTATGGTAAATGTCAAGAATCATTGCATAAACTCTAGAAAGCTGTGATGTGAAGAAAGAGTGTACCTGTGAAAATTGTTAATATTGAAATTCTTTGCTTTTTTTCCAAAATTAAATTTAACATTACATATTTCACAATAAAGTGCAGTGTTAGTCCTGTGACTAGCGTGCGAACTTAATATGGTGAAGGTTCCCGGTTCAAAACTGGTTCCACTATGTTAAGGGAGTAGGGTAGTTCAGAGGGTGAGCACTGACTTTCAGATCTCAAGATCTTAGGTTCGAATCTGGCTGATGACTAATAACTTTTCATCAGTTGTGGATAGACCTTGGGGTCAGGAGACCCTCCTGGGGCACACCCAGCCACTATAATGTGGGTACTCTTAATTAAAAATAATTAATTAAGGGGGAAAACCTGGTGGTTGAGCATGATCTTGGCCCTATCACCTCCTCCACAAGCATTGGTCTTGTAACAGTACTTCTTCACATTGTACTTAACACAAAACCCTTCATAGGTTTTTAGTGGTACATTTATTTCACAATTGTTTTTATTTTTTAATTTAATGAATCTTTTATTTCAAAAAATAGTAAAATAACATATTATTGACTGACATAAAATTATAATTTTAAATCAACAAGACCTTACAATTTAAAAAACATATTCTTATTCCTGAACAACATTTAAAATTATTTTGTTAGCACAACTGTTAAAAATCTAGCTAGCAGAAAACTGGCTGAGGAAATTCTAGGAGGAAATGACGTTGTTTCTAAAAGATCAGAAGGAGTCTTATTATTTGGTCTTAAAGGTTGTTTTACCAAAATAAAACTATTTTTTCGATTTCTTAAAAAGCAAAAACGACTTAAGTTTACCAACGAAAATTTGATGGAAGAATAATGAAAAAAATTTTAAGCAGAGAAGAATCAAAATTAGAAATGTTTTATTTTGGTAGATGACAGTACTTTTTAACTGGATTAGAATTTTCAGATGAATGTTTGCAACCGTAAAACACAGAAGTGACTTCTTTATGGTTTGGGAGTGTACTTCAATATCTGCAGTTATAGACCTCTTGTGAATAGATGGGAAACTGGGTGAAAAACAGTAGCAGAACGTTTTCAGCAAGATAATGATAAAAAATATGATATTTTGTTATATGCTTTGAAATAACAGTAAAATAACATTAAATAGAAAACAAAAATAAATAATGAAATATTGAACATTAAAGTATAAAAAAAAAAGTTGAAGAATTACAATTTATATTTGTAAAGATACATTCAGCTTTTTAGAGTTTATACAACGGCTCATGATGTTAACAATAAAGAATAAAGACTGCAGTGGATATCAAAGTCGTGAAATTAAAGCAATAAGGAAGCATTATTCAGAGGATGAAAAAATATAACATAATGGATTGGTCCCTTGGCTTGTTGTTAACTGAAAATGATGCTAATTTAAATACATATTAAATCTACAAGATACATATTAAAAGTCAGCAAGATTAAATCAGTTTACAATTAAGATTTTATCTTCTTGATTTTCTCTGATAGAAAGTTCTCATTGATGAAAAATCATAATTTAAGGTCAATAAAATGGCTCTTGATGAAAACAATAAAGAATAAAGACAAATTGGAAAACAAAGTAGTGAAATTTAAAGAATAAGGTAGCAAGCAATACTCGGTTACTGAACACTAAGGATTTGTCTCTTGGCTTATAGTTTAGTTTAGTGGCGGTTGTCTACAATGTCTGCTAGGTTAAATCAGTGTACAATCAGGAAGATAAAAACACTTTTAAATTGAAACATTTATCACTTTTATAAAAATTTGGTTTGCTCAAAGACTCTTTCACACCACAGTATATATATATTACAGATAGTAAATAGTATTGGCAAAAAGGACCAATAGGCCCACACTTGCTGGACTTAGTCCCCCCACAAGTAACAGTAGTAAATAGCATTGGTAAATTTTTCTTAAAAAAAAAAAAAAAAACGCACTGTTTTAAGTTCATTTTGCTTACATTTTATTCATTACCCTTGTTTGATTTCAATATAACAACCAGGACCGTTGTTAACCGTCACAGGTGGATGGATATAGGGATCGTGGTCATTACAACTATACATTTATAATGATGATCAGCTATGACTTGAATTAAAAAAAATTTCCCTGACTTCTCACAGTATTAAAAATACCATGACTTTTCCCATTTTTTCAGATCGATTGCCACTCAACCATTTGACCACTTAATAACGATAAGGGACCTTTGTTTCTAGTGCAATTTAACAAATAATGTCTAAACTTTTTTTAACACTAAAATCTGATAATTATAATAACTAATTAGCATCAAACTGTAACAAATAATTTCATTTTAATAAAAAATATCGATACCCATGCTGCAAAAACCTGTAAGGACAATTATATTCTAAAATGGGGTATTAGCTGAGTTTTCCTGTCAATCTTGGCCTGGTGTATATTCTGATCTCACAAAATGATACCTACAATGTTTCATTTCTTCTCTATGGTCTTATATAAAAACTTCCAAATCATGAAGTAAAAGCCTATAAGTTAATATGAAGTTTATTGAGATTTTGTTGTTAGTGAAAAATGTCATGGAATGCTCAATGAAAAGTGGTCATGTAAATATAAAATGTACAAATTATAAAATATATAGAATAGAGCAAGTTTCTCCAAACTTGTTAGTCCGTGGACCGCAGTTTGGAGAACCCTTGACTAGAATATCAAAACAGATTATTTGATTGACTTTCATTTACCCATATAACTATCACTAGAGATTGAGTAAAATTCATGAGACCTTTTAGAAAAGTAGTATGGAGTCCAAGCTACAGCTTATATGAGTTTACAATTGACAAAAATATCATTCAAACTCCTGTTTGTAATTGATTATTTTTTTAATGATGGGTTTGAGAAGTGGTTTAATTTATTAATCAAGTATCGAGGAGATTCAATATTAGTTGATAATAGATCCCTCCAAGGTTGACCCTTTTTTTTTTATTCAGAGATTAACAATAATGAAGAAACTAAAGCAAAATAAGTATTTTTTCCCCATAACAATAGTGATAACAGAATATACAATGGAGAGGAAATAGCTCAAAATTAAAAGGAAATGTGCCAGTCGGGGATTAGCAACAGAGAAATGTAGTAGAAACTGGACTCAAGGATCATCTGAGAAAAATGCACAAAAAAGAGCATTTCCAAACAAACCTGAAACATGAGGATAAGCCAGAAGAGAAAAATAAAAATTGGGAGGCTTCCATCAGCCATTCCATGGCCTTAGACATTAGGAGTCCCTGTGCAATGACATCATAATTTCATTCAATATGTCTCTAATTCAGTTGCTTTATCATTATGCTAAAATTAATAATTCTTCTATGCTTTGTAATTTTTTATTAAATTCCTAAAAAGTGGTGAGCATTTCCAGCCTGGCTCCTCATGGCAAATGCCTGGATTGCCCAGTCCTAAAGCTGGACTGCTTACTATGGTATTAGATGAAGCAAAGAAGAGAGTGGTAAGTGGGATTATAATATTTAACGACCTTCAAAACTACGAACACCTATAGACAACTGCAAAATGAGCTTGGCAGCTCATAAAAGCTAAGGTAATGCCGAATCCCAGAAAGAGAGAGACAAAGAATTAATTTCAGTAATTAGAAATGTAACATAAGATGGAAAAAGAACTCTAGCTTGACCGTTAGTGGACATTTTCAAACCAACGAATATGGGAAATCGCTAGAAACTCCAGAACGAAGTGATCTATACAACCAGCAGGTTACCTAGAACTTATCAAGAATTCGTGAATCAAACAATGTCCATATGAAGTTGAGCACATTGATACTTTCATGGACTACTACAATTGTGGCTCATGGATTCTGGCTGTACAGAGGGTGATGCTAAAGTGAATGATGTGAGTGAATGATCAAATACTCGCCTGCTGGTCAAATGTTTAAATTTTAATTTGAAGAATCGTGTTCCTATTTTTAGGAAACCGACTTCGTTCATCATAATTAAGAAAGTTATTGGTGTTACTACAATAAATTTGATGGATTTTACCTCACTAATACATATTTTTAAAAGTAGATAAAAAACTGTATGATATAAGTAAATTCCTGTGAATTATAAAAATAGTTCAAAAACACTATAATGCATTAATACAATAAAAAAAGTTACATGGAGCATTTTATCATGTTCTAAAAGAAGCAAAAAAAAAAAAATAATAATAAAAATTAAACAGTTTTTTTTTTTGTCTTTAGAATATTTTTAGTCGTTGTTCCTACAGGCTTTTGCAGTGTCGATATACTATAATAATACACAACTAAGAATCATTATTCCATTTAATATTAATGAATATACTTTCTGGTTCTTCTTTTACTGGAATACTTTTAGAGATGCTGTTCAAAAATCCTTTAATACCCCCAACTGCATTAGGTTTGGGTTTAAGATGAACAACGGGAGCATGAAGTTCTGTAAAGCCACTAAGCTGCAACAATAAAATTAAAAAAATTAAAAAGAAAACAAAAATGAAACTATGAAATAAGAAATAAAATAGTGGTAGAAAAAATCGGCACACCTTGAACTTTACATAAAAACTGCTGATAGAAAAAACATTTTTGAGTCTGAAGTAATGAGAGGTCAAAGGGAATTACCGTGCATTAATCCTTCTGAGAAAATTTCATAATTTTCTCTCGGATTAACGATAAAAGTATTGAGTAAAATGTGAACTTTATATCAGTATGTTTCTAGTTACCTGTTCAATTGCATTGGTTTAGTTTTTTCTTGAAAAATAATATTTAGTTTTTATCAAACGTTATTAATGTCCTGAGAAACAGAATACTGCGTTGATAATAACGGCCAAAGCCAACGACACGCAGCCTGAAACAATGGTTCAGTGGGCAGTTCAGAAAAAGTGGGATACAGGAAGCTATGCTAAGAAGTTAGGATCAGGCCATCCAAGAGCGACAGGTCCAGTTGATGGCCACTTCATTGCTATACAGACCCTCAGAAACCAGACTTCAGTTGAGACAGGGTTCCCACTTTTTGCTCTCTACTCATGGCAGCACACCAAGCAGCTTGCCTCTGCTTTTGTCATTAACATGCTGCTTAGACAGAAGATGATTTGACCTCTGTTCTGGTTTCTGAGGAGTCCAGGTATAGCCTTTATGGTGCAGACAGACAAGTTCAAGTGTGAAGAAGACCAAGTAAGCAATAATAGTGCTATTAACGCCACAGCGTTAATTTATTTTATTTTCAACAATATTTGGTTAATTGATATTTTGGTTTGTCTCATAAAATTAATAATTAATTACAATTAATAATTAATATATATATTTTTAGGACCACAGCTTATTTTGTTTTGTCACCTGCTTGTGACCAGATAAAGTTGTTCCATTATTTATTTATTTTTTTCACAGCATGAGTGCACTACGGCCATGTAGGTTTATTTTACGCTTAGTTTAAAGTCACTTCAGTTTAGAGTGTGATTCCTGCAGTCTCTATGAACTGTAATAGGCTTGTTGGATTGATAAGTTTGTTAACCTTGGGATCCTTCTCCCTGTCAATGCCGAATAAACGAAATCTGAGGCCAGCAAACCCATCACACCAGCAAGAGACATGATACGCTGTCTCATCCTCCCGGCCACAGTACCTACAAAGAGACGACTCTGTGAGCCGGAGTTTGAACATATGATAAATCAGTTTACAATGCCCTGTATATGCTGCTGTAATTTTCTTCAGTGAGCTCCTGCTCAAATTAATTAGTAAGTTAGTTCTTTTTTGGTAGATTCCTTCCAGAAACAGTCTAGAGTGGGTCTGCTTTTTCAATAACCAGTTCCTTTCGTTTTCAGCACCATATATCTCCCCGATTCCGTTTGTTGTCAGACACTGACTAATACCACAGATGAGTTCCGGAGCTATGGGTGTCATTTGAGAGCCTTGTCTGGCTAGTTCATCAGCCATTTCATTACCATGAATTCCTGAGTGACCCGGAACCCATTACCTTATTAAGTCTAGATAATTCGTTGAGAATTCTAACACAATCCCCAACTACCTTGGATCTAGTTGTATAGTTGTCTAGTGCTCGTATGGCCACTTGAGTGTCTGTATATATTGCTATTCTCCTCCCAACTAACCCGCCAAGCAGCAGTTTTGAAGTTATTCAGTTGAGTTATTGCCAGTATTTCAGATTGAAACACTGTTGCGTAATTTCCAAGTGCTTTTGACATGCCAGCCTCCGGTTCATCCCTTCTCCAGAAACCAGCTCCAGATCCGCATGTCATAAGTGACCCATCAGTATAACAATTGATCCCATTGATGGGTTTATGTTTACCTGAGCTGCCTATTTAAATATTATTCATCTTTGTGAGAAATTCTCGGGTTTGAGTGTCAGAATCAATTGTAAGCAGTCTGTCAGCCTCAATTTTTTAAATTATTTCGTAATGTCCCTCCAGAGTGTTTATCTTTGAGCACAATTTTAATTTCTGTAGCCTGTAAAAAGTTTTCATGGCCTGCTTTTCAATATCCAATTCCAGTGGTAAGATACCAAACATTATCTCCATGGCTGCAGTTGGAGTAGTTTTCATTGCGCCCATTATCATTAAACAAGCTAATCTCTGTACTTTTTCCTGTTGTGGCCCACTCTTGCCTTATGTCACCATACAACAGTTGAATATAGAAGCACAGGTCTGACTGCTGCAACATACAACCAGTAGACCATCGCAGGTTCCCAAGTTCCCATACCTTCCCTACTGCATTCTTACATGCCCAGATGCATTTTTGGGATTTTTTAGTTGTGTACTCTATATGTTTATTTCAAATCATTTTATTGTCCAGCATAACATCTAGATGTTTTACCTCCTTACTTTCTGTTAGCTGGATATTATTTATTCTAGGTAGTCTTATTTCTACCTTTATTTTCTTTGTAAAGATGCAGACATTTATCTTCGCCAGATTGACACTAAGTCTATTGGACCGGCACCATTCTTCCAAGACTTCAGTCGCGTTTTTCACCTATAAGAATAGTGATATCATCTGCGTATCCTTGTGCATAAAAGCCTGCAGTGTTTAGTTTTAAGAGCAAGGAGTCCACTACTAAGCACCACAGCAATGGAGAGAGCACACCTCCCTGTGGACATCCTCCTCGAGGTTTAATCCATATTACGGTGTTTCCTAATTCAGTTTTAAGAGTTCGTGTATCCAACATGTTACCAATCCATTTGGTGTTAAGTGGGTCTATTTTTCTTGTCCTTAGAGTATGCATGATAGTTTCATAAGAAGTTCTATCGAAGGCACCTTCTATGTCAACAAAAGTACCAATAGTTATTTCCTTCTGATTCATGGATTTTTCAATCCTTGATACCAGATTGTGCAGTGCAGCTTTGAATGATTTACCTGGTTGGTAAGCGAATTAATTGGAGTATATCGAGTTTGCATTCACTAATTGCTCTCTTATATGCCTGTCGAGAATCTTCTCTAATGCCTTCATCAGAAAAGACAACATGCATATTGGCCTGAAAGACTTAGTATCATCATATGTTCCTTTTCCAGGTTTTGGTATATAGCACAGTTTAGATCCTCTCCATTCTGAGGGAATATAACTAAGCGCCATACTGCCCCTCAGTAACTCTAGGAGATAGGGTTTAATTGCTGAGTCCTTTTTGAATCAGTACTGGTAGGATCTTATCCAAACCAGCCGATTTGTAGGGAGACAATGGGTTTACAGCCCATTTCAGTCTGTTTGCTGTAACACTAGGGATTTTAGTATCTATACAGGCAATTTCCATGGCCTCACATCCAGGAAAGTGTGCTATTGCTAGTTCTCTCAGGGTTTCCATCTCATTAATAGTATATTTGCCATTAACCCTGAGTGTACCCAGTATTCCTTGGTCTCTCTGTTTCGTAAGTATTTTTTTGATCCTATTTGCCATAGGAGTGCTATCGATTTCTTGGCAGAAGTTCCTCCAGGACCGTCTTTTAGCTTTCCTCACAGATTTATGATATTCAGTGAGGTCCTGTAAACCTCCCAGTTGCCATGTTTTTTTGTGGCATTGAACAACCTCCTAGTGAGTGTTCTTTGCCTCTCTAAGTTCTTGTTTCACCAGGATACCCTTCTTCTGGATATCTTGGTTTTGATATCATTGCTTCTCAAATATGAGTTCCTAATTGCGTCTGTTAAAGATGAATTTAGGCATTCTAACTGCCAAGTGGTGTCTATTTTTTTGGACAATAGCTGATTGCCTCTTCTAAATATGATAGATATTTTTCCCAGTCCATAGATTTAGGATTTCTACAGTTCTCTATGGTTTTGTTATTGTTAGACTAATCGAATCTGATATACTTGTGGTCTGAACAGGTTTCCATATCCAGTACATGCCAGTTTTGTATTTTAGACGCGACCTGAGAAGAGGCCAATGTTATATCAATGACCTCTGATCTTAATTTATTAAAGAAGGTAGGTTTATTGCCCCTATTTAGTATATGTAAGTTATTACTAATAATAATATCCAGTAATATCTCACCTCTAAGGTTGTTCTTGTTGCTGCCCCATATGATGTTGTGGGCATTAGCGCCCAGTCCCATCAGGGTATTTTCACTGCTGGAGTTCAGAATTTCTTCCATGTCTTGTGCTGGGACTCCCTACTCATATGGAAGGTAACCCGCCACTACGGTCAGTGTCCTTTTGTCTTTCGATGAGGTAGGTGGTTTGTTGTTTTTGTTTAGTTTTGTATAATTCTTACATTAGGGTTAATGTATATTTGTTAATTTTTCCATAATCAAACATTGAACTATTTTATTAGATATTTCATAATTGTTATTAATATTGTATTCAGCTTATAGTTATTTTCATTTTAGAAGTTATTACTTTATTTTATCTATTGATACCAGTGTAAAATTGATTTCATTTTATTTTTTATGTTTTCATTATTAGTAGGTGTAAATGTTTCAAAATACAGTCCACTTTTTTTTTAATGTAATTTTAGCATCCCTCGTAACTTTTTTTTGCCAGCTTCTTTTCATTGAAGTACATCATATAAATAAATTTAAAGGTCATCAAAGAAGAGACTTTAGCCAAGTTTCATTGAAATTGGTACATTCGCTTAAGTGCTAGTCTATACCAACACAGGTTTTTCTGCCACCATCTTAGAATGAAAGGGGCGATAGTAACCTCGAGATAGGAGGACCATCCTCAGGTGACCTCTGATTTAAGATTCCAAATTTGAAAAAACTGGTCCAGTAGTCTTGGAGAAAAGCGGCAGACGGTGGACAGACAAACAAATTTTTATTCGATTTTCGAATTCTACGTATCGTGAAACATAAAACCTTAAAATTTGAGGGAGTGATTAAATTGTTGATTTTTTGGACAAATACAATGGTTCATTATTGAAAATAATAAACCAATAAACCTAATTACAACAGTAGTCAAATAATATAATAGATTCCTATAGGTGAAGATGGGGCAGAAGAGAAGGGAAGGGAGAAAGTAAATTATCAAAACAAAGATATAACAACCCATAACCACTAAGGAACCTGCAATAAAAAGATACTCTTTTGTTTTCAAAAGCATAACAATAAATAGATTACAGTACTGCAGAATTGACTTACCTTATGAGTAAGTTTAGTCTTATGGCAGAAGCTAACCAACTTGTACATATTAAATATATCTATCTGAGCACAACTAATAAAATCGTAGATGGTATAAATCTTTGTTCCTATCACTGTGCCACTAGCTTCTCCATTTCCACATCCAGGTTTACCGCCTAAAATATATACTTTGTTATTATACATAAAACAATATCGTATTATAAAATAAATTATAAGGAAAAAAGTAATACGAGTAATTTAAAATCAGTTAATTAATAATTCTCAGTTAGTCTTTAGTATATAAACTGCTAAAAAATGAATTGGGATATTTTTGATTCATTTTAATTAAAATATCCTAAATTTTTGTTTGTTAGAGATTCTCTTCTTTGTTAGACACATTAAAAATAAACAAGTATTCTTAATTTTTAATAAATTATTAACTAAAAGATAGTCAAAATGAATAATACTCATTATCCAAACCAACAGTTGTTTTTTAATTTTCTCAATTTTAATCCACTAATATTCTGATTAATGATGGCAAGACATCATATTGAACCAGAAATTTGGAATATTATTGTGAGAATGAGCAGACAAATGCACCGGCATGTGAATATCGCTGATGCAGTTGGCCTCTCGGAGACTGTGGTCTCTCGGGCTTAAGCCAGATTCAGAGAAACCAGAAGCACCAATAAGAGACCTGATCTAAGCGCATTACGGACCAAGGGTGCCTGACAGAGTCTAAATGAAATTTCTAATGTTCTGCCAAGGCCCATATCAACTCAAACGATTCGTAATCATTTGTAAGAAGTTGGTTAAACATCTTATGTGCAGTAAGCGCCTAAATGAGGATACAAATTGGAATGCTGTTTTGTTTACAGAGGAGTCACGATTTTGAATTTATAACGACCGTAAGCGCCGAAGAGTCATCTGATAACAGAGGATGGAATACCCATTCCACAGTTTGTGCTCCTTTCAGTTTACAGTTTATGCAGTCTATAGATGGGAGTGTGATGGTATGGACCAGCATCTACTCAGGACGGACTTTATTCAAGTGATGGGGCCATACTACAAGACGGAGCTGTGATTCTGTCTCAGTGACTGGGCCGGAGCTGGTGATCACAGTGATAGTCACTGTAGGCGCTCTGAAATCACTGTGCTCTAACAGTGACGGTCACTGTAGTTGCTGTGAAATCACAGTGCTCCAACAAGTGACGTTCACTGTAGCCTCTGTGAAATCACAGCTCTGATCACTCCGCTTTATCACTCCAGTATTGTTGACATAATTTATGTCATATGTATATTTCTATGTGCCGTATATTTCTGAATGAGTTATGTCTAAAATAATCAACAGAAAGTTTTACATTCACTCTTTTATTTATTGCTTGATTGCCATTTATTTTGTAATTAATTAATTTTTTAAAATCATAAAATAAATTTCCGATATAATTAGAGTTCTGAAAGAAGTTCAAAATCCATGAATAGTGAAAATATGTAACAATATAAAATTATTACTATCATTAACCTACCTTCCTATTATCCCCAATACACTCTAACCAACCAATCACCAATAAACAGACAATTAAAATCAAGTACAATTCTAAAAATCATCAACTGTTGCAATGTAAAAGATTTCAGATGCAAAGTGGATTTCAAATTAAATAAACTCAAATATTCTCTATCGGGCTGTATCCAGGAGCCAAGGGATCTCAGGGATAATATTTCCCTGTCAAATATTACATTTATCACTGAAATTTTACCTTCTCAATAATACTGAAGGTAACAAAAATATTGTTTAAAAATATTACTTAATTATTATGTAATATTTAATCCTTGTCCTACCCACTCTTCTCAACACCACATTCAACGGTGAAAAAAAAAATTATGTAATAGTATCTATTTTTTATTTCAATATAAGTTGAATAAGTTGAACACTGAGATTTCACAGTGACGTTGTTTCCAAAGAGCCGTTGAATACTGATGTATCGGAAAAAATCACTGTAATAGTATCACTGTAAATTTATTTTCCCGGAGCTGTGACGGAAAATCTCTGTCACACAACCCCAACCCTACTCATCTCCATATTGTGAAAGGTAATTCATTATGTTCAAGAGGACTGCCGTAATCATTATGCCATGATTAAATCAGCTATCAAGAGCCTTTACAGTTACAGTTATTTTTAAGCTTTGATCAGTACATCTTATCCCCATTAAACTTTTTAATAACAAGTATTTACCATGCACACCAAATAATGAGAAAACAAGGAGGGAATTCAACAGGAACCAAGTGGATGAAAAGGGGGAAAACTTTAGGAAAAATGACACCAGACTCTTCTACAGGTCCTTCAAGAACAGTATCAGAGGGAGGCTATGCGCCCCTCAGCCTGAATTTCAAGAGAGAAAATGGGACACTGGCACTAAACAGCGAAGAGAAAAACTGGAAATACAGAGATATAAACCACAAAATATCGACTCAGACCTCTCCGGATGAAGAAGTAGAGAAAGTAGTGAAGAGTGTCAAAAACAATAAAGCCTCACACTAAGGTGAAGATGGTGCCCTCACAGAGATGTGGAAAATGGCAAATGAAGAATTTCTAAGGAAAGTAACAGACCTATTTCTGGAAATATGGGAGAAAGAGAGAATTCCAAAAGAATGGGGGACCACCTTTTAATACACTGCTACACAAAAAAGGGGAGAAAGCGGACATAAACAATTACAGAGGAATCTCGCTACTACCAGTAACTTATAAAATATTCTCCAGAATCCTTCTCAATAGATTAGAGCCGCAAATAGACAAGAAAATAGGAGAATACCAGGGAGGCTTTAGGAGGGGAAGATCCTGCCAGGAGCAAATACTTAGCCTCAAATTGATCATAAAATATTATAGTGCCAGACCCCATAAAAATCTATACATCTCCTTCATAGACTTCAAAAAGGCCTATGATTCAATAGACAGAGAAATATTGCTCGAAATTCTGAAGGAATACAGAGTAGACAAAAAAACAATAAGCCTGATAAAACTGACTCTGACAAATACCAATTCAAAAATAAAATTACAGGGACTAATAGGCAAACAATTCCAAAGGCTTAAGCAAGGCGACGGCCTATCACCCATACTGTTTAATGTAGTGCTGGACAAAATTATGAGAATTTTCTGGCAAAAGGACAAGGTGGGTGCAGTAATAGGGAAAATGTGAAAGTAAAGTGTCTGGTCTTTGCAGACGATCTAGTCCTGCTAGCAGAAACAAGAGGAAGCCATAAAACAGGTAAACACTCTGAAAGAAATAGCCAAGAAAACGAATCTCAGATCTTTTATGAAAAGACAGAAATTATGACAACGGATGGCAACTTTAGTAAGAAAATATTGAACAAAATATGGGCAAATAAAAGTAAACACAAAGTTTAAATACCTAGGGATGATAATATGGAGCAATGGAATGAATAAGGCGTCCATGGAAGAAAGAATAGCCAAACTGGAAAGACTGAACTTCACTGCTAGAAATATCTACAGCAAGAAAAATTTGTTGTCTAATGCAAAAATAAGGCACTACAGTACAGTAGTAAGACCAGTGATACTGTATGGTATGGAAACAGTCAGCCTTTGGAGCCTAGAGAAAGCCCTAAAGATTGAGAGGAAAATTATGAGGAGGATTCACAGATTAATTTTTTAACATTTTTCATATTATTATTTTATTATTCAAATGGGAACAAACTAGTTTTACTGTGTTATACTAACTAAATATTATTATTTTTTTAATATGATATTAAGAACACTATAATGAAAAACTGTACTAAAATCCAGATCTATATGTTTTTTTTTTTCTAATGGGTGATTATTACTCTTTCTTGCTCAGAGTTAAAAGAAAAATGGGTTATTGGTAGGCAACAGCTCTTACATCTGGCCCCATCTGGATGAAATATAAGAATGCAATAAATCCTTCATGTTTCAGTATTATGGTAATGCATTTTAAAACAGGTGCAAGTTAGAAGCCCATTTATTCAAAGGACAGTGGGTATTTTTTCCCTATTTCTTAGAAAAATGGACTTCATCTGTTTTTCATTCCTTAGAACAATTTACAAATACAATTTTTACAGTACCAAGGCATTACATACTTACTGAACTGTTATATGAACTAAAAACTTTTATACTGAAAAAAAAAACACAAGATAATGGAAAACAAACAAATAAATAAATTTTGTTCATGATTAGTGAAACATGTATTATAACTTACTTACCTATTAATTTTACCAAACTTCCAACAACATAAATTACTTGCTTCAAGTACATAAGATTAGTAGGGCTAAATTTTTTTTCATATTTATCTTTGTACATTGTCAATTGGTTATAGGCTAATGTTAACTGAAAATCAAAAAAACATTAAAAAAAAAGTTAACATTAGTTTTACAGAACTCATTAATTTCTTGATAATTAAATAAACAAAGTTACATATATATATGTAACTTTTTATAATTATGAAATTTTGTTTGTTATTGGAAGATTAAGGCTTAAAACCAATAGGTCATCAACATTTTTTATTTATATATTTTTTTTTATTATAGAAAAACTTGATAAAGGCATTAGAAAGGTAAATAATAATAAGAAAATAAACAAATATATAGAAATGAATACTAAGAAAATTAAATAACATAAAAAGGATCAAGTGATAACAATAGATGTAACCTAACATAAAAAACATTCCATCCAGTCTAAGACCTAAAATGCTACCTTTGACTTATGGGTACTGTTATTATTCTGCCTACTTTATTTTACTTTAAGTTCACTCTACCTACTTTATTTTAAATCTCTGACCTACATTTTCCAATTTGTAAATTTTGTGTACGGCCATCACAGCTATTTGGTTTTCCGAATGTAACTCCATGTTAACTGGGCGAAAGGAAAAAACCTGATAGAGGTAAGGATTATGTAAATAATACCCAAGGATGTGAACAAAGTTCAACTTTTGTAACAATATTCGTAGCAGAACTTTATTTATTTTTATTTTTTATTATTTAATGTTCATAATTTCTCATACCTATTGTTATCTGTTTTTTTCTTAGCCCTGATGAAGGCCTGACGTCGGTAAAAATAAAAATAAATATATGAAGAGAAGAATAGTTGGGATGATCAGTCAAATAAGAAGGCAAAAATGCAAAAGAAGCAATGATTGCTTCGACTTACATCTTTGAAGTCAGCCCTGATGATGGCCTGAACGTCAGGTTGAAATGTCGGCTAATGTCAAAATAAATAGTATCATTTATTTTTGCCTTCTTATTTGACTGATCACCCCAACTATTCTTCTCTTCATTATTCACGACAGTCAACCATTTACCAATTAAAAATAAATATACTTATTTATTTTTACTTATTTTTTTTTTATTGATCACCTGAACCATTCTTCTGTTCAATTACTCACTACAGTCAACGAATAATCCACAATTATATATACAGGGTGTTTTGTAATTGCATGACACTATTTTAGGTAGGAATTCACTAACACAAAATAAACAAAAAAGTTCATATTAACATATATCTCAAACTCATTTATTAAACAGAAATCAAAGATTAGATTTATTATTACTATTTATTTATTATTATTACAACATTTAGAGTAACTGTTCAAAGGGGCTTCCGTTTTGTTGAATCCAACATTCAGCACGATGAATCCATGCTTCTCTGGCTCTTCGTATAGCATCAGAATGGTTATCATGTAATGGTTAATTTGATAGTTACTGCGGCTTCCATTTTATGGCTTCCAAACCCGATTTCTTAGCTCTTCTTGCGTGCCAACTGTTGCAGAATAAACCATAGACTTCATCCAGCCCCACACAAAATAATTAAATAATTTGATGGTGTTAAATCCGGAGGTCCTGGTGACCATTTAACAGGGTTTTGACCAACCCATCGGTCTCCATAAGTTGCATTTAAATAATCAGTGACATTATTAGAAAAATGAGCTGGAGCACCGTTCATGAAGATTATTTTGTAAACAATGCAAGTAAGATATACCTGACAGCCTACGTGGGGCCAGCAAAAAGAAGGGGCCCCGATGTTGTCGCTTCGAAGACCACACCAAACATATAAAGAAAAGGTATGTTGGTAATGTCCAACAGCAGTCGTATGAGGGTTTTCTTCAGCCCAAGTATGAGTATTTCGAAAACTAAGAATCCCGTTTCTTGTAAAGAAAGATTCATCAGTAACCAAAATGCAGTTCAGGAAGTTAGGATCTTGTGTGCATTGTCAAATTAACCACTGGGAGAAATTTCTGCACTTGTTATAATCTGGTGGTAACAAATCTTACCTACTTGATACGTGAAATAGATACAATTGTTGTTCGCGTAAAGTTCGCCATACGCTGATAGAAGAAACATCTAAATGACATGACAATCTTTTGGCACTAGTAGTAGGAGATAACTGAACAGCATCAAGTATTTCTTCTTTAACGTTTGCAGTTCGTCAAAATCTTTGTCGACAGGCGTTTATTCGTATAGGTTTAAGCATACCATTATCCCTCAAGAATCTTTCAATGGCCTTAAATGTTTTATAATTTGGTATTCTTCGGTTAGGAAATTTTCTAACCGTTTCTATGTACCCGCCATAAGTTAAAAGCATGTCTGTTTGTTCTAAAAAAGTGAATAAATTTATGGTGTCTCCCATAATAATCATAAATTGAATTGTGTCACAGTATTCGTTCACACTGAAACAGATGAGCAACTACTATCATTGCTTATCGTTCATTAGTTTATCAAGTGATTAAAACCTGTTATTTAATTTTAGATAAGTTAAACTTTGTAGTCAGTTTTAATGTAGTAAATAAATAATAAACCTTAACCTTTGATATCTGTTTAATAAATGAGTTTGAGATACATGTTAATATGAACTTCTTTGTTTATTTTGAGTAATCCTCAATCCTCAATTGAACTGTTGAGGAATGAGCTGAAGAGAAACGTTCATAACATATAATGTACCAATCGAAAAAACTTTCTCAACTAGGATATTGCAAAAATGAATAGAAAGAATGGCAAAAATATAATATGCAATGCTCTAATTAAGGCAAAAGGGAGATATTTCATAGAATAAAAAATTGGACAATATTCATAATTTGTTATTATTTGAACCATACAAATTTTATTTATTAACTTTTCAAAATCTAAGGATGAGCCTAAACTTTTGAACGGTAGTGTATATACATGTATATTGTAATATAGACCTTTTTTTCAAAATCTGTAAAAACGTTTTAGTTAATATTAAGCAAGCTAACCTAATTGTGCTGCTGTCAAAGTAAGATGGCTTCACTTGTTAGGGACAAAGGAAAATTACTTCACTTGTGGTGGACAAAATAAAATGGCTTCACATGTGGAAAAGTAGCTGTAGGACCCCAGGCATATAAAAATAATATGAAATTTCACTTTTGACACACAGATCATTTTGAGGGACTTAGTTATTTGGACTTAAGGGTCTTCAAAACTTGTATTTTCGTTGAAAACTCAGATTTGAAAATTTTCATAAACAGGTAAGTGAAAGTAAAAAAACTGTATGAGGTTGAAATTCAGATCGCTGGCAGCTCCTGATGAATCTGTGTCTATTTTTTTAGACAAGGAATTCTTTTTTATTTGTTTGACATCATTCTTTTCTAGGGCTGATTCCTGAGGGAATATTCTAAACTTATTTTCCGGCAAAGGATCCTATCATAAGTGTGGATCATATTGATCCTCACTTTTTGGTCTCCTCATCCCCTATCTCTTTATCCTATTCTAATTGAATGATTTATAGCAGTTAATATTTCAAGTTATGCATACACTCCTTTTCCACCACAGAACTCTATTAAAGCCAAAATGATCAAATGTGTTTAAAAAGATGATTCCTTTATCATACCAGAGCCCAATTTTCAATCAATCTAGCCCAAATCTTTCTCAAACTGAGATTACGGCATTAGGAGATAAAAAAAAACAAGATATCTAGATATAGTACAAGAGAAAATTACAGTGGTATCATAGAAAATGCCAAGTTGAATATTATTAACCCATAAAATGATAAGAATAAACATCTTCATTTCTTTCAAATATTAAAAATTTTACCTAAAGGTATTTGCAAAGCAAAGAAAAAACATAAAAGTAAGCAACAGGTAAATCATTAAGGCATAAAATCATGTAAGTACTTTATGTAATTACAAATAAGTAATTTTTACTGTTGATTGCAGGTAACAGAAGTAGGGATCATCCTTTTCTCACCATGCTTCAATTATATTCAATTTACAATGTAAATTTTTGTTTTCTTGTTTTAAATTATCAGTACTGGTACATTAGCCGGGCGGGATGAAACCTTCCTTTTTAATCTAACATTATGTCACATAACCTCCCTCTTCTTATCTCGCCAAAACTTTCAGTTACTACATTGTTTATTTTTCAGTTATTAAATTCTTTATTTTTGGCCCGTTTGTGTTATTTTTGTCAAATTATGGACCTTGTTACATTCTGGGAATTACCATCTTCAGAACAGGCTATTGAATATTTTCAAAACATTGGGATAATTGCAAACATGAAATTGTGTGAACAAGATCACATCTGTATATATCAGTGTTGGGCAAAATTTATCTTAAATAAAAGATAATAGATAACGAATAATTTATTCGAACTTTTCAACTACAAATAACGAATAATTGTGTTTATCTTTTATCTAGATAATAAATAAATTCAAGTTATCTGTTATCTTTTTATTTGTTATTCAACGTTTTTCAAATAAATTTCGAATAATTTGACGCTAATTTTATTTTTCTTCTATAAACGGGCCAATGTGTACATGTTCAGATCCATAGTTTTTGAAAATTATCTCCATTTTAAGATTACACCACTACATTGTGACTTTTTAGGATTTCTTCCATATCAGGGTTTTTATGAAAATACTGTCGGATTTGAAATAGGGCCCCTCCCTCTGAACCGACTTTTTGTAACTATTCAGATTTAATTGATATGAGGGTCGACTAATATGTTTTGGGGGGCCCTTTTTATGAAAATACTGTCGGATTTGAAATAGCGCCTCTCTCCCCTCCGAACCGACTTTTTGTAACTATTCAGATTTAATTGATATGAGGGTCGACTAATATGTTTTGGGGGCCCTTTTTATGAAAATACTGTTTGAAATAGCGCCTCCCCCCCCAGAACCGACGACTTTTTATACTTTTTCAGATTTAATTGATGTGAGGGTCGACTAATATATTTTGGGGGTCCTTTTTATGAAAATACTGTCGGATTTGAAATAGCGCCACTCCCCCCTCCCCCGAACCGACTTTTTGTAACTATTCAGATTTAATTGATATTAGGGTCGACTAATATGTTTTGGGGGCCTTTTTTATGAAAATACTGTCGGATTTGAAATAGTACCCCTCCCCGTAACCGACTTATTGTAACTTTTCAAATTTAATTAATATTAGGGTCGACTAATATGTTTTGGGGGCCTTTTTATGAAAATACTGTCGGATTTGAAATAGCGCCCCCCCCTTCCGAACCGACTTTTTGTAACTATTCAGATTTAATTGATATGAGGGTCGACTAATATGTTTAGGGAGCACTTTTTATGAAAATACTGTCGGATTTGAGATAGCGCCCCTCCCCTCCCCGAACCAACTTTTTGTAACTATTCAGATTTAATTGATATGAGGGTCGACTAATATGTTATGGGAGGCCCTTTTTATGAAAATACTGTCGGATTTGAAATAGCGCCCCTCCCCCCGAACCGACGTTTTGTAACTTTTCAGATTTAATTGATATGAGGGTCGACTAATATGTTTTGGGGGCCCTTTTTATGAAAATACTGTCGGAATTAAAATAGCATCCCCCCCCCAAAACCGACTTTTTGTAACTTGTTTGGTTAAATCGATGTGAGGGTCGAATATTATGTTTTTTGTGGTGTGGCTTTTTATGAAAATAATATTGGATTTTAGATTGCGCCCTCCCACCATCCCCCGCTTCGACTTTTTGTAACTTTCCGGATTTAATTGATATGAGGGTCAACTGTTATGTTTTAGGGGGTGCTTTCTATGAAAATACTGTTGGATTTAAGAAAAGTCGATAGGAGAAGGGGCGCAATTTAAAATCCGAAGTTACAAAAAGTCAGTGCAGGCGGGAGCTTTCCGAAAGTATTTTCAAAAAAACCATACCTCAAAACTCATTTGTCGAACCTTATATGAATTAAATCCAAAAAGATACAAAAAGTCGTTGCGGGGGGCGCTATCCCAAATCCGACAGTTTCCGACAGCGCTATCTCCTCAAATACGACAGTATTTTTTCATAAAAACTGCCCCCCAAACCTAATAGTCGACACTCATACCATTTAAATCAGAAAAGTTACAAAAAGTTGGTTCGAAAGGAGGAGGGGGGCGCTATCTCAGATCTGACAGTTTTTCCATAAAAAGGGCCCCGTAAAACATATAAACAGACTTAAATTTCGAAGAAATCCTAAAATTGCAAAAAAGATTATTCGAATCGTATTTTCATCTTAAATAACGAATAATAGATAACAGATAATGCATATATTTGTAAATCGTATTTTCATCTTAAATAATGAATAATAGATAACAGATAATGCATATTATTTGTAAATAACAAATAACAAATAATCATCTGTTCAAAGATCGTCGAATAAGTAATAACGAATAAAAATTTATCTATTATTCGTTATCTAGATAAAATTTCAAATAATTTATTTAAATAACGCCCAACACTGGTATATATCATATATATATATATATATATATATATATATATATATATATATATCAGATATATATATTAATTTAATATATATTTCGTAAAATAAAAGTATTTTTTTATTATTACATTTGTTTTTGTTTACAATTTCAATAATACGAATAAAATACAATAAATATGAATTCAAAGATAGGAATTAGGGGAAGGCTTATCAGTTCCTTATCAGAATTATCAGTGTTCAGGTTATAAACATTGGCAGTCCGTCCCGGCCCCCCCCCACCACCGGACGCCCGGCTAGTGGACATGTACCAAATTATCTCTCAAAATCAAAATCTAAATTTAGAATGGTAAAACATTACAAACCTGTGCTCCAGACACTTGAGAACTGTGTATACTAGAAATGGTTTCCAAAATATTGTGAGCCTCATCAATGATGATAACACTATTTTCTATTTCAAGACCACAAGCTTCTCTGGTATTCTTATGCAAAAGAGTATTATAAGGTACAATTACCAACTGAAAATAAAATATATTATTTTATATATATATATATATTTTTTTTTTATAGTAAATGACAAATATAATTTAAATTAATATCATTGGCAATTTAAAATATTACATAAAAGGACAGCTGTTTTTTGTTTTTAATTGCTAACTGAGAAAAGTATTGGACTGATTTAAACTTTTTTTTGTTCTCAAAGCGATTTAAACTTTTTTTTTTTAGATGATTTATTTAAGGCTGTTGATATCATGGTTCTGATTTCTTTCTGGGCATTTTGCTCCTGCTTGCGTGAGGAGTGCTTCTCTCATATATCGAAAAGGTTACTACTATTAGTCTTGATCCTGAAGTGCCAGGGAAGAACATCAGAACCTTTGGCTTGTTGACCAATTTGCCTGTTGAACATCGCTAGTAAGGCTTTTGGGAAAATAGTAGGAAATAGGAAACAAATGATCACCAAAGGTGTAAGAGGTCTCTCTAAGAGACAATTTGGCTGTTGAAGAGTGAGATTCAGGACGGATGCAATCACCTTGGTGAAAACATAAGCTCAGAAATCTATCACAGTGAAGAGATGGAAGAGATTTATGAACTAGTACTAGTCCAGTAGTCACACTGGATGCCCTGCAAGCAATGGGTGTTCCTCATTACCTTAGGAGGATAGTAAATGACTACTTTAAAAACAGGACACTGGCACGCGCAACTGAGGATGGCCCAAGAAGGTTTCAAGTTTCTGAGAGAGTACCCCAGGATTCAGTGTTAGGATCCCTACTGTGGAATGTCATGTATGATAGTGTTCTCAGGCTTAAACCTTCCAGAGGGAGCCAAAACAGTATGCATCCTAAGGGCTAATCAGAACTAATCTGCAACTTCTTGGCATCCGTGGAACAGCAGCTCGCAAGACAGAAGCCCTGCTAATCAGTAGAAAAGGGAGGTAAGAGATAAGATCCAAGGCCTTCCTAGACATACCTTAAGGTAAGAATCATCAAAAAGCTCAGGTTGTAGGAGAAGTTCAGGGTTAACACGTGCGCACAGCACTACGCGTTGCCTGGCAACCCGGATAGATTATGCGATAAAAATAACACCGAGTTTGTGTCCCAGTGCCAAGGGGGTCTTATAACTCAGGCCCGGGAAAATCTCTGTATAGCCTAAAAGGGCTACATCCATTACGCTCTATGCTGCTGCTATATAGAAAACCCTTGATACTATAGCTTATAGAAGACAAATGATATCTATCTACTATTGGAGCACCTTAAGAGTGATCAGTGCATTCCGCACAGTTTCATATGAAGCAGCATGTGTGGCGTCCAGGATACCACCAATAAAGCTCATTGCAGAAGAGAGGATGCACTCATACAACAAAGTCCATCGCATTTCCAGGACCGAAAAAATAAAGGAGATGATTGGCAAAGGACAACATCGCTGAGGTATAGCATTAAATGAAAAGTGAACATACAGACTGGTTCCCTGTATCCAATCCTGGCTAGACACGACTCTATATAGGAAATAGAAGGGGAGATTGATTACCACCTCGTTAATCTCCTAACTGACCAGTGTAGGTTTAGGCTGGGCAATACAGTAGAGTGTCCTAAGTGCAAATTGAGAGATGAGAGCATAGAGCAGAGCACATGTTTTCTTCTTTGATCGGGCAATAAAGGAATGTTCAAATATTTTAGTTCTATGGAAAGAGGTATAAAGGTCGGAAACACGGGATCCTGTTTTTTTGGGAGTGGACAACTGTAGATGTAGGAAGGGTCTCAGGAATTGATTGCTTTAAATAGGTAAGATCCAAGGAAATATTGTAGGCGGAAAGAACAGAAGAGCCACTTTAACTCATCGTAAAGGTGGGAAACATGAGACTGTCTCGATGTACCGAAGACAAATCTTAAGAGGGAGTTAATGGATCCCTTCAATTTGTTCTCGATTACCATCGGGATGGCACCATACATCACACAGTCGTAGTAAAAGTGGGGGAAAATAAGAGAGGAAACAAGAAGCTTGTGGGAGTAGATGACGGGAATTATGAAATAATGTAAGGATACCTAATGACTTTTGGGAGATGAGGACGATATGGGGTTTCCAGGAGAGGTTTTCTTCAATGGAGATTCCTAGGTTTTTAATGGAGGAGCTGAATGCTATGTGAGGATCGTTGATGTCAAAAGGAGGAAGAAAGGAGTTGGATTTAAGGAGAGAATTGGAATCTATAAGAATGGCTTGAGTTTTCATCGCGTTTAGCCTCAAATTATTGTCCAGACACTGATCATATCCACCTGAATATTGGCGAATACAACTAATCGCTTAGAAGGGTGAAAGGATAAATAGATTTGGAAGTTGTCGGCATATAGATGGTGTGAACAGTGGTAGATTGAATTGGGTAGATCATTTATATAGAAATTAAAAGGGAGAGAATGTCCAACTGTGGGCTATTCCAGAGGACAGAGTAGGGAAGGAAGATAAGGATAGGAATAATAACTGCCTGAGTAAGGTCGGCAAGGAAAGACCGAAATCAAAGAATAGAGCTGTTAGAGAAGGATAGAGATTTCCATTTAGTGTAGAGGATGATGGTCTAAGAACAGGGCGGCTACCAGACTGTGGAAATAAAATTCTCTGACTTTCCTCTATTTAATGATAGTTTGCCCAGACCAATATGTCCAGGGATACTAATATTAAAAATGTATTATTTTTAATATGTCTGGGGATGTAAATATTAAATATGTATAATTAACACTATGTCCGTGGACACAAATACTATAAAAATTTATAATTTATAACAATGTTTATTTATTATACATGAAAGAAAATTAGTACAAAATGATATAACAAAAAAAAAAAAAAAAAATCAGCATTTTAAATATAACAAATACATTGTTTTAGAGGAGGCATTTTAAAAACTTAATTAGGATTTCTTAAGGCACAAATTTCCTTTTTTTTTTTCTTCAATTTGTCAGCCTCTCTTTGAGCAGCTTCTAAATTTCTGCTTTTTAAAATTATAATTCTTAAATTGTTTTTTTCTTTTTTCCTCCTTAGATTTGCCTGCTGACCTAAAATAGAATAGAAAATATGTAATAAATTTATACATTATTTGAGAAACTTTTTAAAATGTCATCTAGCTAAATTATTATTGATTTAATACATTTTTCTATCTATGGCATCTTCTTTGCTCAGTATGCAGGAAATTCCTTGTAGCATGAATAATCTGTTTTTTATTTTAAATTTGTCCAATCCTCCCACAGATAAGCACTAACATAACGACAAATGACTCATGTTTTACGTTAGTCATTAAACATTCCGAATTAATTGAAAATCCTCTTTCACAGTTGGCATTACTATGTGAAATAATTAAAATAACTTTAACAACCTGTAGTAATTCAGAGTGGTCTTTTTCGTGAGTAATTTCAACAAATCTCTCCAAAAATGATCTACTAGAGTCTCCTTCTGAGAATATGATTTTAAAAGCTGCTTTATAAGAGGTTTTTTTTTTTTTTTTTTTTAACGTATTTTATTGTACTCATGAGCAGGCTTGTCAGCACAGTTTTCACTAATCATATTTTTTTCCAGTCAAACTATAATGGCATGTTTAAATCTTTGTTTACCAAGTTCTTAATTAGCAACTGTAGGATCCAAACTTGAAATGGCTTTTGTAACCGAAAAATTTTATGGAGACTGGTCTAGCATTTTAATTAAAAAGATTTTGATGCAATTTCGACAATCCATTTTAAATTTAGTAATATCTAATTCTTTTACAGAGGAGTTAAGTTTTTTAATATGGATTTTCATTGAGATGCCCAGATTTATTGACTTTGTGGAGATAAGATTCTCTTCAAGATAAAGATTTAATTTTTTTGTTATTCTGATAATTTTGAAGAACTTCAACCTTCAAGATCTTTTCCATTCAGGATTGAACTAAAGGTGTAATTGAATTATACAAAAATGGAGATAGGAGGACTGTCGGATTGAAATTCGTATAGGAAGGGTTTAAACTCATCTGCTAACGATTTAAAAATTGTAGATGAGCAATTATCAGGGAATTTCCAATGCTCGATTTAATTATTTGGAAACTATTGTTTTCTAATATTAACTGATTTTTTAATGAATCGTCAGATTCAATAATTTTGTTGATGTTTGAGTAACTCTCAATAGTACGCTGCACTACAATACTATTTTCAAGCTATCTAGTTGGATTGAATTTTAGTTGGATTGAATCAGTAACTGACCAATAAAAGGCACACCTTGCTGAGGAACCTTTAAAAAAATTGTATGATGCTCACAAATATTCAAAAACACCCCATCCTATGCTTTTAATTGCTGTTTTAAATGCTTCATGCCTGAAAAACAGTAGAACATAATATGATGAAAATAATAATAATGAAATAGAGACTTGTTTTCAAACTTACATTACATGAAGAGCGCAACTACCAATATTCAATAATTCTTTTTGAAATTCATCTTTAATTTCTTCTGTAAGGGTTTTAAAATATTTTGTTTGGCATTTGGACCATCCATATTCACCATTCACTTATAGAGGTTTATCAAGTCCAAATGGAACTGCTTCCTGTCTAAAAGCTTCTAATAAGGTGATAGAAGCTGCACGACACAGGAAGACTGAAGTTAAATACCTGGTGTGGACTTTATCCAGGTTAGAATAACAAAATCTGATATTTAAGTTCAATTGCTGCTGCTGTGCAATTTTATTTAATGACTCATTGAAACCAATAACGAACATTCCACATTTATTAAATTTGTGAGAAAGAGAATTCTTAAAGTATTTCGCAAATCCATAAAGAAGTGCATAAGCGATTTTGTCTCGCTGCAGCATCATTTTCTTTGCAATGTTGCTATCAGATAACAGTCTAGGAAACAATGCCACATCCTTGGCAACTGTTCCTAAGGAATTTTCAGATATGATAGTTAATAAGATAGTTCGAAGACACCACAAAATCTCTGCCTCAATAACTTGATCATTTACAAGATAGTATTTAATTTTATTGATTTCACTTGAACTTCCTATAGGTTTATGGAGTGAAATAGTTAGAGAAAGAGGGTCTAATCAATAACTTGATGTCGAGGCCAATTGAATTTGGTAGCTTGTTCCTGGTAGTAAATCCTTAGGTGGTTTAATGGGAGCAGAAGCATTAGGTCTTTCCAAAAATGTCATCATAGGAAAAGATTTGAGCTCCGTAGTTACATTTTTTGTATGTTTGGTTACTTTCATATGACTCATCAATGCACGCTTTCCCATATTACTTAATCCAAAGCTCTTGTTACATAGCTCACATCTGTCTCACTTTGAATTTTTTTCCTATTTAGCCACTCTGAAAACCTTGAATCCTGTAGCCAATCAAGCTGGAAATCTTAAGACAATTTATTATGCAGAACTGAAATAAATCAAAATCTGGAAAAAATAATGCTCAGTCAGGAAAAGGGAAACATTTCATAATTTTATAACAAAACCAAGTTATTGGTAAATACTGTCCAGTTTACTTTTTCATTTTCAGAAACATATTTGCTCTGCTAACATAAATTTTCAGTATCTTCATTCAATAAACAGTGTATATGCAGTTGAACAAATGTATTTTTATCTCTTTTCTCGTAGGAATTAAAAGGAAATTAGTAAAACAGTTCAAAACTACAATAATTTTTATCTGAAGTTGAGAGTCAAAAATGATTTGTTCGAGGTATGTAAAGCAATCATTCTTGTAGCCCGATCTGCTCTGCCTCTCTTTTCAGAGTCTTAGCGAGTTTCTTAATGTCCTCTTGATTACTTCCAAGGATAGCTATATCATCTGAGTATCCAAAGATTTTATGACGTGGACTCCTTCATTTTCATGTGAAGTTGTTTTTATTACCTTCTCCAGGACTAAGTTTAAATACATCGATAATAGTCCATCTCCCTGACGTAAGCCCGTTCGAACTTTGAAGGCTCTAGAAACTTCTCCTTGTATTAGGACTCCACAATTAGGGACATTTGTACACGCTTTAGTCAATCTCACCAACTTACCGGGAACTCCCAGTTCAGTCATTATCTTATTTAATATTACCTAATAATATTTTAAAAATTAATTTATAATTATTAACAACAGTTCATAAAAAAGGGTGTCCAGCAATTCTCCTCCAAAAAATTCCTGTACATTTCCTGATTTTTCTAGATTTTTTCAAATATTTGCAGTTTTTTTCATATTTTTCTCACTTTTTATAGATTTTACCCTGTAAATTACCTCTGTTTCACATGAGGTGTTTGGTTTCAAGACAGGTTACATTGATTTATTGAAAAAAAATATTTTTTTTATTTTTCACAAGCTTTTAATGTTTATTTTTATAAAATTAAATGTATTGGTATAAAATCCATTTAGAAATTCAAAAAACCAATACTGAAAAATTCGATTTCTTACCAAAAGTGGTTTTGGATATTGAATATTGCTATATTCACATAAAATTGTGGATAAATATTCTTTTTTATTTAAGAAATATTTATATTTTTTTAAAATTTATAAGTCTAAATACATATATTTGCTATCATATTCACTCCTGTAAATAAGAATATAGTTGTATTTACAAGTATAATAAATAATATTGTTACATTCAAAGTATCTATAAATATTTTTAATTAAAAATTAAATATTAATACTACGGCAAATTTACTGGTCTAAATACAAATATTTGCATCAAAATCACAAATCTTTAAAAATGTATAATTTCAGGAGTGATAATGAACACAATAATATTGTCATAAAATTATGATGATGTATTCTTCTTTATTTATCATATATTTATTTTTACACAAATTTATAATAGATATTAAATTTGCAAAATTTAATAGTTTCGGAAATCCATGTACTTATCACCAGGCATCCTATACCTGCTTCCTAGACCAGGCCACCCATAGAGATAGATAGCATTTTCATCGTGGAAAAACCAAACATCAACGACTTCAAAGGAAAAATTCCACCACAATGTGATTGTTCTAAGGCGATTTAATAATGAATAAAAATATTTATTCTTAAGATTATGTGAATAAGACAATATTTTTTATTTATTTTGTCACAAGAAAAGCAAAAAAAATAATTTTTTCCCGGTTCTAGAAATCCACGTACAATTCCCGGTTGCTGGACACCCTGTAAAACAATCTTAAATTGGTCAAATTTTTCCTAAATACTATATGCTAAATTTAAGGTAACACCTACAAAAAACCTTTACACAAACAAAAATTCAAACTATCCAATTAAAAAATAAATAATTTTAAAACTTACCTGTTATGAGAAGAATGAAGTCAAAAAGAAAAACACCCAAGTTGTTCTCAACACAATGTAAAATCACATTAATGATGTCAACAGCACAAACGGAGTTGGTTGGAGGAAACTACAATTACGGCATACTTGTGTTTGTATGTCTGTCTGAAGGTGCGTTTAGACATTTCACAAGCTATGAGATACACAATTATCTAACTCAGGGGTCTCCAAAGAAATCCATGAAGAGCAGTCAGAAAATAGTAATATAAAGAATTATAAAATTTTATAGAATATTTTTATTCTAAGTATTTTATTATTTAAGATCTCGACCTTCCGACCTTTACATTCCTTCTCACAGATCTGCCACATTCCAAAACTCCTTTATTGCAAGTTCTGTTAGTTTCTGGAATTTCCTTCCTATCAAAATTCGACATTCTTCATCCTTATCTACATTCAAAACCCTCCTATTCCAATTCCTGTCCCAAAAACAGTCAGATACCAACTAACCTTTTATGTAAAATTACATATTATTTATAATAACATATTCACATATAGCTCATAACCTAAATACTTATTATAGATTCGACTTTCTTTTTCAACAGAAACACAGATTTTACTATTAAGAAGAATTTACATATATTTTTTCTGTATTTTTTATTTTTTCTAAAAGGGTTTATTTATATTTTAACATAGTACATAGTTTTAAGTATCTTAGTATGGTTTCAAGAGTTTTTTATATAGATTTTTTTATTTTATTTTGTATATAGTATGTATAACCAATATTTTTTTTTCTTTTTTTTTTAATGATCTATCTTTATCTTAACTTTTTATGTTTGTTTTTATCTGGCCAGATATAAAATTTTAATTTCTGTACTTTTTTGTTATTCTGAAGGGACTTCATCCCAGAATAAAATTATTTTTCTATTCTATTCTATTCTATAGGGAGATGGGGCAGTTTCATGGTATCACATTGATCTTCCAATGCTTAAGGTCCTGGGCTCGAATCCCAGCCCATTTATTCGGTTTTACCACGTGGGGCACACCCAAACTCTATAAAGTGGGTACTCTTAATTATTAATTAATTAATTAAGGGAGAAAACCTGACAGTCGAGCATGATCTCAGTCAAATCACCTTGCACAACCGTTGTCTAAGAAACAGTACTTTCCCTAAATAGCAGTTAACACAAGACCCTTCATGGGTTGCAGTGGTGTTTTTTTTTTTTCTGTACATATATATATATATATATTTTGTAATGTACATCTTTATCGGAAGTGAGTAAAAAGGTTTTAATAAATTAATGTTGAACAATTAAAAGGCAAGCTAATCTAGTTCTACTAGCGCAGGGAAAAGAAAATGGCTGCTCTGTAGTTTCCCAAGAAGGAAAATCACAGAGGAGGGACAAAGGTTTTTGTTTTGGCAAGCAGTTGTTGTGTGGCTGTAGTGAAGAGAGCATAGGAGAAGGGATCCTTGCTCTAGTGGGTAAAACCAAGTAATAGTATTGCCATCTTGGAAGTTGTTGTTTGGCAGAGAGACTAGTTGTTTGGAATCACAAGAGAGAGGATATTCCAGCTATTTTGAGTTGAGTTGATGAATGTGTCACCAATTTGGAAGTTGTGTTAGGCAGAACATTGGAAAGCATTTGAAGACAAATGAATTTAGTGCAACAAAGGAAGAAACAGTGTATATATATATATATATATATATATATATATATATATATATATATATATATATATATAAAAGGTTAGCTTGCCAATCCATACTTGACTTTATTTTAAAATCAGTGTTTAATTTTAGTATAAATAGTGTAAATAATAATAGTTTGTCTGAGTTGATCTGATGGTCAGTAAACAACACCTGAGATAAATAAATATATTAATTCTCTTATAATTTTGTTTATTATACACAACCTCTTATTTATTTAGGAAGTATCCCAATGGTAAGGAGTGAGCTTCCGAGGTTATATTATTATTATTTGTAAAATATAAGAGAGATGTTACAATTATATATATATATATATATATATATATATATATATATATATATATATAAAGAATTATAATCAAAATGAGTTTTATGGGTGATAAATATTCAGGGCGTAGTCTTTTTTAAAATTTTTTATTTATGCCAACGTTTCAAACCAATTGGTTTGAGATGACCCACAAATACTGAACACAGTACTTAAACCACACCCCGAAGATGACCCACATGTTTGGGTTGAAACGTTGGCATAAATAAAAAATTAAAATTGTTTTAAAAAAAAGAATATTTATCATCCATGATATGTAGAACAGTCGACTAACTTCCTTCAAAAATGAGTTTTAGATGTAAGGAATCTAAAAGAGCTAGTTAAGCTGTTGATCCATTCGTAAATGTACATCAACTTAGCCTAGCCGCTTAGCTAAAAAGAGGCCTCATATTTCTTAATATATCAAGCCTACTTACTTGTTGATTAGTACTGATGCATAATGTAAGGCCTTCCTAAATAACATGTTCCTTAATAACAAACAAATACTTTTTGAAATAATTAGAATGTGGAAAATAGGTAAATAACTACATAATTTACATAATATTCACCAATAATCTAGATAAATTATAAGCATGACAAATAGTGATCAAAATATACCTCTGCATTTGAAACAGCACTTCTAGAAGCATAGTATGGACAAGATCCGGTTTTTTCTCCTATTGCCTTAAATTCTTCAACGTCTAATATTGTAGCAACTAATTGTTCTCCAAGATCAGTAATTCCTTTCATTTTTGGACAACCGCTTCCACATTTCTTTTGTTTTATTTTTTCACCTGATTCACCTTCTAATGTGACTTTAGCTTTGTTATCGCGCTGAAGTTGTAAGCATCTATTACAGAACACAACAATTAGTCCAGTTGTTGAATGGCCCAAAAGAAGGTGTAGAGTGCGTGAGCAGTGACCTAAGCAATTCCTTCAGAAACTTGTTCGGGGTGCTTATGGTGTGAACATATCAAAAGTCCTAATGTCTAGGTGGTAAGCCAGGAGGAAGAGGGAGGGGGGAGGAAAGGTCACACATAACTAATCGCTTATATATCTCAAAAATGGTGTGTCACAGGGGAACATTGTCAAATAATATATGGAAGAATATAAAACTATTTACAACTTTTATTCTATATGTTTTTTCCCAAATTCTCAACCATTTTCGATCCTGAATGAGAAGCTACAAAGCCGTGTTACTGCCACTAAGATGAAGTTTCTTAGAAGAATTGTGGGGAAAACACGGAGAGACTGTGTCCAAAATGACAGGATCAGGGAGGAGCTAAAGATACGCCCCGTGCTAGAAGCTCTGGAGAGGAGACAGCTGAAGTGGTACGGGCATGTCTGGCGGATGGACCACCACAGAGACCCAGTTAAAACCCTAGAGGAGAGGGCGATGGGGAGAAGACCGAGAGGGCGACCAAGAACCTCAAACGTTAGGCATTTGGAACGAATTGGAAGACGAAGAGGGAAGACCGTGGAAAAGATGAGGAACCTTGCCGGGAACAGGGATGCATGGAACCAATGGATGGAAGCACCCTCACACTGAGAGGCAAATGGGTGGAAGAGAAAGAAGAAGTTTTTGAAAGACTAAAACCTTTTACCAACTACAAAAAAGAATAAAGTAGAAATTAAGTATTTAGTTTTTCAAGAAAAATAATGTAAAAAATTAAAATAATGAAAATTTAATATGAACATATCAAATATAAATTCTTACTTTTCATTAACTAAAGATAGACTGTGATACTTATTAACATCCTTATTAATACAGTAGCTTTGTCTTGATGCAAGAGGAGCAACCCTTATATGATTTGCATGCACAGTTTTCTTAAGTTCAGAAATAAACTGAGATAATTGAGAGTGTGTACGACTGCAAAAAATAATCTAGAAGAAAAAATGACATAAATATTACCTTAGTCTATTAGTTGGCCTGTGCGAATAATTCACACAGTATATTGGTCAGTAATCAAATGGAAATAAATAAATGCACTATATCATGCAGGAAGGAGAAATTTATTTTTACTATCGCTTAGATATATATGAAATATTTAGGTAGGTATCAAAATTTCTTCCTCTAAAGTGACTATAATTTTATTTATTTGAAATAATTAAACACTTCACATTGTTAGAAGTAAAAAAAAAAAATAAATAATAAATGTAAACTATGAAAGAAATTTATAACAGAAGCAGAAGTAAGGGAATGGTAAGATAGTACTTCGAACCAATGACCAACAAAGACAAAATTCGAGTCAGAATAAAAAAATATTTGTGGCATGCTTATAATTAAATAAGTAAAGCATATACAAGGAAACATAAAGTCACAAAAAACATAAACATCCAACAGATTAAATAGGAGAAAAAACATGAGCCATTCAGTTGACAGAATAACTAACTCCAAATTCAACATTTTTGAGTAAAGTCATTTTAGTGATATTTCTTGTTGGAAAATTTATATCTCTACAGACTATGAGTAGGTTCACTCCAGAATAGGTGATTGCAGTGATGAAATATAGAACTGCGAATAAAGATATACATTTTCCTACTAGAAATATCACTAAAATTAGTAGTCAAAAATGTTCAAATTGGAGGCAGTCATTCTGTCAACTGAAAAGCTCATATGGGAATTACAAAATACCTTGGAAACATGTGATTTACGTTAAATAATGTTAGGCTTCTGAAATTATTATTTATATTTTTTCCTCACTCTCCGTTACCTTCTACAACTTTATTTATTTTATATTATATCTTCTAAAATTCTATAAGACCACTTAATAATACTATGATATATCGAGTTTAATAAAAATCATTAGAGCCATTTTTGAGAAAATTGTAAAAATGTGTTTCACTGTCGACATTAAGTATACCAATTTTAAGGAAAAAGTTTCTGTCATATCTAAGGCATATACCCATCTTAAATACGTAATATTAGTTTCATACAATTTTTCGTTTTTGAGCTAGACTGTTCACATACACACACACACATAAACAGACCATTTTGCAGGACATGGTTATTTCAACTGAGGGGACCTGAAACGTGTATTTCCATTGAAAACTCAGATTCGAAAATTTTCATGATCGCAATACTTTCCCATACTATATATTACATATATAGGTAAGTGAAAGTAAAAACAATTATAACAGCTTAAGTATGTCAATTATTAAAAACTTTAAAAATAAAAAAAATATTTTAATTTAAAAAAAAAAGATACAGAATTTGGAAAATTGTATCCACCCTAAGTGAACATATTTCCTTACCTACTGAAACATTTTGGTAGATTGGTAGGGAAAATGCCATGAATATTTAAACATGGTGTAGTAGTCAGGTTTCTATCACACCTCAAGACTCTTTCAGAAGTTGACATGCACTGATACATGGACCAAAATATATCTGGTGTAATGAAAGGAACCCAACTACTACAATAAGTTGAATTACCTTCTACAACTTTCTATATTAGATATTATTTTTTCTAAAATTCTCGCTTTCCGACGGTATACTATACATATACCTTTTGACTACCATTTCCAGAGATTCATTTTCGACCTAAACAAATATTTCTCCTTTATTGAATTATCAAAATTTATAATTAGACTTGTTTCGTAACTGCTAACAATGAGATAGTTAATTATTTAAAACAAACCAAATCAGAGATACTTTAGATTTGAACATTGGACATTTAAGCCCTGTCAAGTGACACCAATGGGGATAAAACCTAAATGATATTAAAGACCCCCAGGGCTTTCCTCGGCTGCTGGGAGGGTCCACAGGTGACGGATAGTGGAACAGCCTGCAGATATGCAGATTATCAGCGAATAAGGGTTACCAAATAAGTCTTGGACCACGGGGGGACAGCATCAGCAGAAGTGGGCGTCTGGCCATTGGCTAGACCAGGTGCATTAAAATACCAAATAATCCAATGACGATGATGCTGTGACGTAGTAAGTAAGTGCCACCACTAAATATGCACTGTCCCGTATTGCCTTGTACGTACGGTTTGGGAAGGTACCTCAAAGGCTAGGGGTGAATGTGCTCCAAAATAAACCAGAGGTGGTCTGGACTCTAAGCTATAGTGAAAGCAATCAGACTAGTGGACGGAAACCCCAAAATCAAATGACCTGGTCCTCCAAGTTGGGGGTTGGGCGTGGGCCAACAACTCTACCTTGTAAAAAAACTAACCCGTTATGAAACCTAAAAATAGCAAGCTGGATGGAAATAAAGGCAAAAGACAAAGGAACTCAGATTTGGATTTAACTGTCGCTATATGGAATGTCCGTACGATGCTCCAGCCTGGAAAGATGGCAGAGGTAGCAGAGCGGATATTAAAATATAAAATAGACGTTGTAGCTTTCTAAGAAATTCGATGGAACGGGCAAGGCAGAATCAATAAGAAAGATTATACAATGATGTTTATTGGTGAGAAGGTCAAGAAGGGAAGAAATGAAACTGGATTCATTGTGGCAGGAAAAGCAAGATGGAATGTACTATCATTTGAGCCTGTTAATGCAAGGATCTGCAAGATGAGATTGAGGGGAAGATTTAGGAATGTCACCTTAATATCTGTGTATGCACCAACTGAGGACAGTGAGGACGAGATAAAACTCGACTTATATCTTAAAAAGACTTCTTCGGCAACTCCATGTTTTGATATGAAAATCGTTTTGGATGATTTGAATGCACAGATAAGAAAAGAAAGTTTTGTTAGTGCAGTATCTGGTCGATTCACGATTCATAGTGAGACAAATAATAATGGAAAGGTTCTTTGTCAGTTTGTGGAAGCCAATAATATGGTCAAAAGGAGCACTATGTTCAAACATAGAAATATACATTTAGGAACATGGAAATCCCCAAACGGAGCAATAACACAAATTGATCATGTATTGGTTCAGAAAAGGCATGCAACTTCAATTATTGATGTCAGAGCAGCGAGGGGACCAAACTGTGACTCTGATCATTATATGTTTAAATTGAAGCTCAGATAGGGTCTTGCAGTGATAAGAACTGATCAACAGCAGTGTAGGAAAAGGTGGGAGATTGATAAGCTCAAAGACCCTGAGATTGCTGAGAGATTTAGAATATTACTAAATAGGAATCTGATAGACAGTCAGGACGATGAAGGAGAAGAATGGAAGAGAATTAGAGGAGCTATTGAAAAGTCAGCAGAGGAGAAGATAGGTGAGAAGAGTAGGTGAAGGAATGAGGAGTGTTTTGATGCTAAATGTCTTGAGGTCCTGGGTGAAAGAAATCATTGTAAGACGGTGATGTTGCAGCGCTCTACAAGACAAACTTCTATGGCATATAGAGAAAGTCGGAAAAAAGCAAAGAAAGTTATTCGAAATAAGAAACAGGATTTTATGAAAAGGAAAATAGAGCTGATTGAGTAATTGAGAGCAACAAATGAGACAAGGAAATACACAGTAAAGTGTATGAGTCAGGGTTTTCCGTCAAAAATGACCAGATGCAAAGATAAAAATGACGTGGTAGAAGAGAGCTCCCGAGTTCTTGGTAGATGGGAGAGCACTACACAGAATTGCTTAACTCTAGTGGTAATCAATGTATGGTTGGCAGTGATGAAGAAGGGTGTGTTGATGATCTGGAGCCATTGTCTATAGAAAAGGTGGCTGAATTGACTGAAAAATTAAAAAATAACAAGGCATCTGGGGAGGATATGCTAGTTGCAGAATTCTTGAAGTAAGTAGGAGAAGAACTGATAAGCCAAATATATTTACTACTGGAGGATGTTTGGAGTAGTGAAATCATGCCTCAGGAGTGGTGCACCAGTCTGATATGCAAAAAAGGAGATAAACTGCAATGCGAGAATTACAGAGGAATTTCTCTATTGGCTGTAGACTACAAAATATTTTCAAACATCCTCTCTGTGAGGCTCAACGTATTTGCTGAGAATATACTGGAGGAAAACCAGTGTGGATTTAGGAAGGGGAGAGGAACAACTGATCAGGTCTTTGTGATGAGACAGATAATGCAAAAAGCCTGGGAATATAAGATTGACCTGCATATGTTGTTCATAGATTACCGGCAAGCTTTCGATACAGTGATAAGAAGCAAATTAATAAATGACACATGAGTCCCAAATTCCAAAAAAAATAATAAGGTTATTGTAAATGACTATGAATAATAGCAATGCAAAAGTAGTTATTAAAGGCAATGTAAGCAATAGCTTTCCAATGACGGATGGGGTTAGGTAAGGGGATGCTTTGTCTGTCACATTATTTAATATTGCACTAAATAATCTGTTGAAAAAACTGGATTCCCCTGGTTGTATACTTAATGCAATGGTCCAAATATGTGTTTACGCAGACCATATATGCCTAATTACCAGGAAATTGAGATTAATAAAAGAAATATTTGCAATATTGAAAGCCTTAAGTGAAAATGTTGGGCTGGAAATCAATAAAAATAAGACAAAATACATGCATGTCAGTGCCGACAATGTGGCTGGTCCACAGAGCATTGAAATATGTCATCTCACCTTTGAGTGTGTCAAAAAATTCACATACCTGGGGATGGAAGTGAATTCTGAAAATAAAATGGCTGCTGAGGTGTACAAGAGGATCATGATTGGAAACCGGGCGTACTATGCCAACCTAAAATTTTTCCGATCATCGCTTCTGTCATGAGAAACAAAGATAAAACTATATAAGACTTTAATAAGACCTATTGTGACTTGAGCAGCAGAGACATGGACCCTTTGTACTAGCATAATTAGTATGCTGAATATTTTTGAAAGAAAAATATTGAGAAGAATTTATGGAGCTGTTTGTGAAGAGGGTATGTGTAGGTATAGAAAAAACGTGGAGCTATATGAATTATATAACAGCGCCAACATAGTTAATTTCGTTAAAATTAGGCGTATAGAATGGTTAGGCCACATGGTTAGAATAGACCACAGCGGATGCCTTATAGGGAATTGTTCTCTACAATGTATGCCACAAAAAGTAAAGGAAGACCAAGGAAAATATGGCTACAAGATGTTGAGAGCGACCTTAGAACACTGGGTGTGAGAAACTGGAAGGAAAGAGCGAGCGATAGAGATGATTGGCATGCTATAATTCAGGAAGCCAAGGCCCACCATGGGCTGTAGAGCTACATATTTCCTGCCTTATCATCATTTACATGGAGGCCTAACTTTTTCGCAACGTTTTTCAACTTCTCAAATGCCCTAAATAAAGATGCTCTTGATCTAGCCGATATTACCACATTGTCTGCATAGGCTAGATGTGACGGTCTATTATATACCGTGTCATGAACGCTTGTCTAAATAGCACGTACTGCATATTCTAAGGCTAGGTTGAAAAAAGTTGGGAACAAGGTGTCTCTCTGCCTTAGGGCGTCTTCAACTGCAAACTTTTCTGATAGTGCTCCTTGTATCTTGACTTCACAGCAACTATCAGTCAGTGTTATCCTTGTTAGTCTAACTAACTTTTTCGGTACACTTAAAGTGAGCATTACTTTCAATAATTCGCTTCTATTGACCCTTTGGTAAGCCTGTTTAAAATCAATGAAAAGATGATGAATATATAGTATATTCATTACATTTTTCCAACATCTGTTTGACGGAAAACATTAGTCCGATTGTAGATCTATTTGGCCTGAAACCCCATTGATACTGACTAAGAATATGTTCGGATTATACTCATAATTTTTTTTTTTTAAAACTGGGCAGATAATAGCTACCGTCCACTCTTTCAACATTTTTTCTTATAAAATACCTCCAAAACAAGTTGTATGCTTTCTTTAGTAGGTTCTCTCTGCCATATTTCAAAGTTACCGTGTCAGTGCCTTTATTTCCTGGGCTTTTATTGTTTCAAATACTTCCATGAAATCCTCACAATCAGAGGGCTCCACATCATCTTCGCCACTCTGTAATTCCTCTTGTGTACGTCCATGCAGCACGTTACTCTCAGTATTTTCATCTTCATTCAGAAGTTCTTGGAAATATTGTCACTAAGTATCCAATACCTATGTAGCTCCTCCCACCATATTACTTTCTCTATTGCAAACACCTATCCTCGGTTGGAAACCATTCTTAAATTCCCAATTCAATTGTCCTCTAATAATTGTCCGTTTCCCTACTTTTGCTTCCTTGTATGCACATCAAGGCTCCATTCAATTTTGCCCTAAATGGTTCTGAATAGTTTTTCAGTTTGAGAAGCTTACTTTTATATCTTGCGGACTTCTATCCATATCCTCGACCCTTTCTAGCAAGCTTCTGCCCATAGCGTACCGTAACCAAAAAGTGATCAGAGTCATCATGTGCGCCTCGATAACTTCTCATATCCGAAATGTCTGAGTTATGCCTACTATCTATGAGAACATGGTCAATTTGATTTCTTATCTTCCCATATGGGAAGATCCAAGTTTCTTTATGAATCTCTTTGTGTGAGAAATATGTGCTTCTAATTGTCATACCCTTTCCCATGGCAAAATCAATAATTCTCAGCCCATTGTCATTTGACACATTGTGTTTACTGTGTGGGCCAATTGTGGGCCTAAATACCACTTCTTTACTGAAATGGTGGGACTTGGGAGACTTCACACCGTGTATTTCTGTTGATAACTGAGATCCGAAAATTTTTTATAGAGCAATGATATGGAAACCACTCTCATTTACAGTTAGCAGGTTAATAAGACCTAGATGGGAAGAATTTAAAAAGTTCCACCAACCATGACCTAATAACCAACCTCTCCTAATAAAACCTAGAGATCCTAAAAATTTCTGCACAACATGAAATTTCAAAGAACATAAAAAAGAAAATCTGGTGCAGTGTGTGCAACACAAAACTTTTAACTTACCACACTATTTTTAATAGAAAAAAATTATTTCATATATAGCGAAGTAAAAATTATGGACGATATAATATATTCATTTAAAATAATTAAATACCATACAATTATAATTATTATTGATTATAATACCATTGAGGCCGAGTTCAAAATATACAAGAAAATGCAGATTAAAGGACTTGGACGAATATTAAAAAATAATTACTTACTAGATAAATTAAAAAAAATGTTTAAATTAATAAGAAGTAAAAGTGGATCTTTTGGTACAAACTCCGAGATATATCCAAAATATTAAAAAAAAAGTTAATATTAGCAGATATATATTAGTAGATCATGAAAATCTTTTTAGAAAACTATGTATAAATGAAACTAATTTTAACAGTTAAACTAGCAACAACAGAAGAGCCTTGTACAGATGTGAGTACTTTTAATGGAGGAGGATCGAGAAAAGTCAGACACCCTCGACTATTTCTGCTTTAACAGTTCCAATTCAGAACTAATAACCTTTATTTCTCTTTTAGTTAATTATGAAACCTGTTTATAGTTTGTATTTATCTTTTTTTTATTAGTAGTTACAATGCGAAATGGTTAATAAATAAAAAAAATTAAAGGAACTGGATTTAAAGGAAGAAATTCGGTATTAAAGCTCTGTTAGAGAACATTATAAGGATAAGACCTACCTTTAACAAAAAAAAGAATAAGTTTAATCAAAATTGTGAGAACCATTTTCGAGAAAATTGTAAAATCCATCATATAAAGTGCCACTTCCGATTAGCAGATTTTGACAATACAGTTGCTGTAACATTTCAGGAATATAAATAAAAACATTAAATACACAATTTCAGTATCGTACAACTTTTCATTTTTGAGCTAGATTATTGAAATACACATAGACCACCTTTGCGAGACTTGGTTATAAAGGAGGAGACCAAAAAAGTGTATTTCGGTTGAAACCTCGGATTACTATTGCAATACTATCTATATATTTCATATATAGGTAAGTAAAAGTAAAATTAACAATAAATTTTAAAACATAAATAACATTATTAATTAAGACTTAATGAATATTACCTTAGTATCAATACATTTTTCATCTAATTCGTTTTCATCTTCACTACTTTCTTCAGAAGGAATTCCATCAGTGAATTCATCTAAGAGCAATGTTTCTTCATCAGTGAATTCAGGCATACCATTGGTTTTTAATATATTTGAGTCTGTTGAAAGCTTACTAGTGGTATTTTTTACACCATGGAACACTTTTTTTTTCTGTGCTTCCTTAATAAACAAAACTTAAGTTAGGGTAAAGTGAATATAATAGATGGGAAATAATAGAATTGCTTTTGAAATCTTTTTATTATGTGTAAGAAATTGTAAAAGTTTTTCAATCACCAAGACCACACTAAAAAAAATTGATAAAAGTAAAAACAAACAGAAGAATTAGAATCTATAGGAAAAAGGAAACATGGGCATGGAAGAGTGAAGAAAACATGAATGCAAAGGATTTTAAATGCAGTTAAATTTAATATTGTAATAAAATTATACAGAATTTTCATTTTATTTTCTTTATCTGACTATTTACTCAGCATTAATTCTCTTAAAATAGTTATCTTATGAATGTGAAAGTTTTGTGGTATCAAAATAATAAAAAAATTATAATTCAGAGATATTATATGGTTTTCATATAAGTTTGTAAAATCAGAAGTAGTAGGTATTATAAAATGAAAAATAACAAACATCAGCAAAATAGAAAAATACTAAAACAACAGTATTTAAAACTAACCTGAATCCTCTTTTTAACAGTCTCAAACTTTTCATTACTTTTTTCAATTTTCTCTAAACGTTTCTGGAGTTTCACTTTTATAGAATTGTTTTTCATATCTATAATTTGATCAGATAGCCAATCAGTAGATTGTTTATCACTTTTAATGCTGAAGGAGGAAATAGCTTTTTTAAGATCATTAATCTCTCTTTCTTTATGATCTTTAAGCCAAGCCAATGCAGAACAAATTATACTTAAAGATTTACCCTAAAATTTTTCATTCTGATAAAATCATGGGTAAATATCTAATACAATTAAAATATTTAATTAAATAAATTTTTTTTACAGTTCCAGTAGGGCTTTCGAATATTCCAAGTTTGCGTTCTTCAATAGCAGTATAAAGATTTTTCATAAAATCAGTTTGGATCGGATAGGGAGAAAATGGAAAGTTAAAGTCAGCTGGAGGGATTAATTTTTCTTTGCACAAATCCAAAGCAATCCTAAAAATAAAATTTAGAAGAAAAATTAAAAATATAGCAGAAACTTTCGACTTAATAAACCTATTAAAAGTAATTTTTAGTACGCTATGTCCAGAGATATAACATGATTAAGTTAAAGAATAATTCAGGGCTCTTTAAAATTCAAGGCGCTTTTTGTCAATTTATTGGATTCAACTTTATTAAAATAACAAACTGTTGTATTTTCCCAGCTTCTGATAAAATGTACAATTAAGGATTTGAGAATTCCAATTATGTATCAGTAAATTATTATTGGTATACATCATTTTAAATGAAATATAAAAATCATTACTATAATTTTCTTTATTTTAAATAGTTAAAAATATAAGTGGCCTCATACCAAAGACAGACATCTATCATTTTTAGAAAGTGAAGAAAAAGTCAATTTTTGTTATTTAGGTCCAACTCAACTGTTTCTGATGATTTTATTTAAGAATGATCAAGTTGAATTATAAAATAAAATCATTAGAATTGGTTTAAATTGAAGCTATAATATAAAAATTCTTTTTCCTAACTTTTTAAAAATGAAAGATGTCTATTTGTAATATGAGGCTAATCATATGGTATAATTTATAAAACAACTAATCTGTTATTTTCATTGAGGGGTGACAAGCAAACAGAACGGAATCCAAATGTCTAATTTTCTAGATCCTTTTTGGATCAATTTCAGATCATAAATTAATTATAATGATTCATTAAACTCTCTCTCTCTCTATAAATATATATATATATATATATATAATTATAGCTCTCTCTTTCTCTCTCTCTCTCTCTCTCTCTCTCTCTCTCCCCCTCTCTTTGAAACAGCTTCACAAAAAAACTGAAAAGCTTTGCCAGGGCCTTCCCTTGACCAAGAAATAGAAAAGACAGCTAATTCATATGACTTATATACTTATATGTAAGGATAATCTACGAAAGCAATCCTGCAACTCTGGCCACATAACTCTTGGACCTGAATTCATGTAGACTTTTTAGACTCCTATACAGAAAAATATTAATGAATTGAAACATTTTTAGTTCCTAACACGATAGGCTCCATAACAGATTTTAATGGAGATATTTGGACGTTTCGGTCTGCCTTGAGCAATCACAACAAATTGTGCTATTTGTTTTACTTGTGATGAATCTTCTATGTTTCAATATCAGCTGGAGGTTCATTACCTCATTAGGGCACTTTTTTATCTCTAGACTGATGGGACTGTTGAAGCATCCATAAAAATATTTAAAAAATTTTGGCTGATACTACGCCAACAATATTGACAAAAGCTCTAAATGAATTTTTACTACAATATTCGAAATACGGAACATAGTGAGTGCTACAGGAGAAGCCCACGCCAGCATACTAGTGAAAAAGAAAACTCTCACATTGTTGGAGCTTCAGTAACCATCCACAGAGGAAAACGTGCAAGAATCCAACTTACATATACCTAAACATGGTGGCAACCGTCAAGCAGTTTTCAGGCCATTGCGTTTAGTATGGGCTAAAGATTATCTAGCTCTCTTAGGAAAATGGGAGAAAGGAGTTATACTGGACCAATTGAAACATGAAACATACTCAATAAAAATTGAAAAGTTTACTATGGATGCACCACACTAATCAATTATTACTGAGATTGGTATCAAAAGAGAGTGCCATCAATCTAATAGGAGACAAATGCATGCCCGCTAATTAAGAGTAAGGGGACACAAAGACGCTCATAAATCAGACTAGGAGTCGACCACCTATACCAGCAACTTCTCCATTAGAAAGTATTCAACCCACTTTTATTAGAATTCCTCAAAGTCCTTAGAATCCCTCACCACCATTCCAGAGACTGCATCATTCCAATCTTTCTCAGTCAAAGCAAATGGAAGATAACACATCTAGACAATCTCAGAGAGAGAGAGAGAGAGATATGAAAGCCTCTCCATTTTCGCGATGACTAAGCGACTAAAAAGTTTGAAATTTTTTTTTAGATTGTAATGTCAATTTAGTTAACATAATGTTTTTTTCATGACTGTAATGTCAATTTAGTAAACATAATGTTTTTTTTTTAAAGACTATAATGTCAACTTAGTTAACATGTTTTTTTATTTTAAAACTGTAATGTCAATTTAGTTAACCAGACACCTCACCACTCAATCACTCTCTCTACCACTCTGACATCTACCTCATAAATGTGACCTTTCAGTTTTTATACTAGAACAGTAAATAAATGAATCACTTTACATTCTTCTAAATTTATAAATTGATAAATTGAAATTAACATTTTTTTACAAGGCGCTAATTAATTATTGAACTTCTCATAAAACAATTGACATTTCTAAATCAATTAGAAGGATTTTAATAATTCCATGCTCAATGAAATCAAAATACGCTAATAGTAAAGTCCTAAATAAATTTGTACAGTAAATCTCATCATCTTTAAACAAATTATATAAACTTACACTGTCTCACCCATGCTGGCAAAGTATAATCAATCACAATAATAAAAATTATATATATTTAAAAGTGAACCTATTAAAATCATATTCTTTAGTTCAATAACATGAAACCTTATTATTAAATGATGAACTAAGTTTATGAAGACGCGGGAAAACATTTGACATATAGTTATATCGATACTCTTCAAATGAAAATCAACTTTAATTTAAAAATCGATTTTCGTAAGTCAAACTTCAGTGAAAACTAGTGAGGTTACTTGTTATCAAATCTTCGTATCAGGGGTTGGAAAAAGAGGTTGTTGGAAATATCTTGCAAAAGGTTGTCATTTATTTGGGCTTGATTAAATGCTCTATTTACTTTTTTTATTTGATAATAGTTTTTAATTCTCATTTGACCTTGTTCATGTATTGATTTAAATTCATCCATTATAGTTTCCTTTTTTGTTATAATTGATTGTAAGTGAGGACAAGGCTATTGATAAATAATTTTTAATAAACCTTGATAAATAAATAATTAATCTTAACAATTAACGTGTTTAGAATGACACTTGTATTTGGAGTGGGTATTGGAACTTTTATTATCTTATTTTTGTTGGCTGCTTCATTTGTTTTATGCTGTGTTTCTCTAAGAACTCAAACTAAAGTTGGACCTATATTTATTGCATTTTCTTTAGTGTTCATAACCATACTTTTGTTGATTCCAAGAAGTAATGATACTTCTAACAGTATTCACAAGGTTTGTCATTATTAAGTTCTAATGCACCATTTGTGTTTAGCTAATAACCACCAAAAGCATAATGATTCTCTTTGAAATCTAATTTATATTTATTTGGCTTTATTTATTTTGTTTATTTACTTTTGAACTCTAGCCTTAGGTATGGTATATTTGTTAATTATGATGTAATATAATTCTTAATTATTTAAGCATTAAAACTCAATATGCCTATACCTCAGATTAGTTCAACCCAATTTTTTTTCATACCAATAGTTTCAGCAAAGGTTTGAAATAATTTTAAATTCTCACATATTTGTTATATGTTTATATATATCTAAATTTTAAGATAGATTGTTAAAGGAAACTTTGTTTTTAATCTATTTTATTTTTAAGTGCTTAGCATTATTTAAAGAAATGAATAATGTATTAATGGTCTGCTATTCTATTTTTAAACTCATCTGATTGCTTTTCTATTTCTGTTTTTGATGACAAATGCACTTGCACGCAATTGTTTTGTTTTTTATTTTAATAATGGCTCATGGCTTTTTAACTTCGTGGTGATGGATATTGATATGTATTTAATTTTTTCATTATTTACTATTATAATATTTATTACATCATGTTTAATTTATTTTTATTATTACATTTATTTTATTTGGCCTCAACTTCTTTGTTATGCATGTTTTATTAATAAATAATGATTTCAAAGGTTGGCCTTAAAGTTTTAAAGGTTGCCACTGAATTGGTATTCAACATTGCATCTGTAACTTTTAAACTATATATTATAATGAAAATTCCATTTTTAAATATTTCAAAAAACATTAAACTTAACTTCAAAAACAATTAACCATGGGAATGTGTCTTTGAGCCCCAGAAATCAAGAATAGAATATATATACAATAATTGTTGGTATTAACGTATAGTCAAATTTTTGTTTTAATATTTAATTTGTAGTATGAATAGCTGCATGCATTGTAATGTGTGTGGATCCACTGAATCAAACCAATGCTTTTGTTTAAAATACTATTTTATCGTACTTGTGTGAAAGAAGTAGTGAACTATACAAATATTTTATGGATATGTTTATAACCCTCAATACATTTAATGATATGATATGATATTATATCTAAATAATTAGGTATCTATTGGCCGTTTATTCCAAAAATTCAACAAGTAACCTTTTAGAAAATTAAATTAGTGAATAATTTAATGAATTTTCCCTTTGTGGAATACCAACATTAGCCACTTACAATTAGTGTGGGTTATTAGGAAGGAGTTTCCAAAAGTATAGTTATAGAATAAATAGTTGAGGGTCAATGTCTAGATAGGATTTAAAATGTGATTAAATCCCCTTTTGATATTAGTTTTTTTTGTATGTTTTATTTGAGACTATCAATGTGCTTGTGTCTATCCATAACCCTATCTATTATTACAAGGTTACCTGCCCTCCTCAAAGATAAAGCTCCAAACTATCACCTCCCTACTTGCAAACTCCAACATTTTTCTCCTATTGACTTGATGGATGAAAGGATTTTTTTAAGTTTCTCTGCTGTGAAAATTATATTTCCTTATTAAACCACATTGTCAAAAATTAATTATTGCAACATAAAATGTAATAAATTATTAATGAAAATTTGAACTGTTGATATAATTAAACAATTGTGTATTATGATTTCTGAATACATTTGACCTCTGAGAATCTTGAACTTAACACTATTCAATCATATATTTAATAAAACAACATATATATTTAACTTATCTGGTTGAGTTACTTGAAAGGATTCTCTTTTAAATAATATAAAGTAATAGTTGTAATAAATATTTAATGTTAAAAAAAATGGAATTCTAAATATTTTTTGTAGTCATTGTAAGTATAGAGAAGAAATAATTTTTACTTATTTTTTAAAAATATTTTATTCCGTTCTGTTTAGATTTACCTTGCCAGGTAGTGCCTGTTGTTTTATACTCAGGACCTCAATAAAAATTTGTACGGTACCTCTGACTTAGCTGGTCGGGATGGAACCTCCCTTCTTATCTTATCTTATTTCACGGAACCTCCCTTATTACCACATGTAACCTCTTGTTATCCTCCCGTTACTTATGTGTTATTCAATTGTTTTCAGTTTTGTTTATTATTGTTAATGTTATCTTCCGTTCAAATGGATATAATTATACTTTTGAAATTGCCGTCTTCAGAAGAATAAGCTATCAAATACTTTCAGAAGTTCGTGATAATTCCAAAGGTGAAATTTAGTGAAGGTCATGAAATGAAGTTAGACCAAATGGAAATTTTTTGTAGTTGTTTTAGAAAAAACGTATCTATATGAAAAGGAACATGGTTAGAGGAGTCAAGGATTACCTTTTTAAAGGTTCTCAAATTTATTTATGATTGGTCTTATAATTTAACAACAATCCAGTGAGGCAAAGAGCACCTGAAAATATCCAACAAAAGTGTGGTAATGTGGAACAGATTTTTAATAGAGGTTTGTGCCCATAACGTTTGATACAGATAAACTAAAAAAAAACTGGAGGTCCTGCAAAAGTGGTTGAAATAGACCAGAGTCTTTTTTTTTAAAAGAAAAAATCATGTAGGGAGAGTTCTTCCTGAACAATGAATGTTGGCTGAGTTTGCCGAGAAACAGTCAAGTGTTTCATGTTAAAAATAAAGGACAGAAAAGCAACAACTTTATTAGAATGTATTTAAAATAATATAGGAGGGAGAAACACCCTGCATCTGTCAGTTGGAAAGGATACAACAACACCCAACAACTGAATGAAGTGAAGTATGACCATTTCCAGATGAATCACCGGTATAACGGACCCTTCAAGTGGGGTCCATACTCAACACAAAGAATGGTTATGGGGCTCAGCTAAGTGGAGAAATAAAAAATATCAAGGAACTTCAAGGCAACTCTTGGATTCCTATTTATGTGAATTTTTTTGGCAGTGGGCTCACAGAGTAGAGGACCCGTTCCTCGCTATTTTGTCTGCCAAAACAAATGAAATATAATAAAATTATATAATGAAATATAAATTATATATATATATATATATATATTATATATATATATATATATATATATATATATATATATATATATATAATATATATATATATATATATATATATAATGTATGAAAGTATATACGTTGTTTGTATTAAGTGTTATATGTGTTGTATTTTGTCTCCTAAAATAAATAAAATAACAAATAAAAATGATTTGTTTTTGTCTAATTCAATTTCCATAAATATGAATACAAATATAGGTATTATCATTATCAGTGTTCAGGTTATAAACATTGGCAGATAGCAGTCCTTCCAAACCAGATAAGTCACAAGTACCAAAATTTTGTATATCTTATAAATTCCTATTTATTTTTCATATTGATACTTTTTATTTAAGTGTAGTAGAATAGCTTTGTTTAAATAATTTAAAGAAATACAATTAGAATTAATGCTTTCAAAAATAGATTATTTAGTTTGGGTTGGGACTAAGTTAAATTATTTTTAGAGCCTAATTGATGTGTGTCAATATTGTTCCTTTCTTAGAAATCTCTAAAACCACTCTCTTGAGAAATTTTAATTTAATGGTTAAATAGTTATTAATTTAATAAGTAAAATCTTTGTTGGTTATGAACTTTTGTTTTATTTATTTCTAATAACAGAAATAATGGCTAATGTTTTAATATTTGTTGCTAATCACAAATTTCAGATTGAAGATCCTCACTTCATTGCTAGACTGTGCCTTATTGCATTACTAACTATATCTACTATTTCTGGATTTTGCTTCTTTTGTGTTGATACCCTTATGGCTCAGACCAGACCTGCTTTACTTAGATTGTAGTGGTATCAAGCATAATGAAAGGTATATTATCCTAGTTACTTTATTATGAACTTTTTTGGGTTTCTTTGCATGTTTTTTAAAAATTTTATTCCATATATTATGTATTTTCTTCTTAATAAAAATGTTTTTCATTGACTGACAATGACTTCCATAATTTGGCAACATTTCGCTTTTAGATAATTTTAATCCAGCTTTGATATCTGGTTGTAATGAATCTAGAAATTTACAATTTTTATACTTATCCATTTAAATAAAAAAAAAATTGTTTTTATTGATTTCTCAAATTTCTGTTATATTTGTTATAACTGGATATCTCAAATTTGTTAATCACTATAGTTATATTGATAACAGAATAAAAAAGAATAAGAAAAAAATAGTAATGTATTATTATGCATGACATTGTTAATCACTATAGTTATATTGATAACAGAATAAAAAAGAAAAAGAAAAAAATAGTAATGTATTAAATTTCTCAAATGTATCTACATCGTATGAAAACTGACAATGAAAGTCTCACAAATAAAGCTATTAAGATGGTAGATAAACTAAAAATAAAAACAATAAAAATTAAAATTTTCAAATTGTTTGATTACTTTTATCCAATAATTATTATAAATAAAACTTGAAAGTTCTTTTTAAATTTAAATTATAGAAAGAAAACATAATGAAGGCTGATAATTAGAAATGTAAAAAATCTGCTTATAAATACCTATCGGGAATATTTTATAATGTAACATATATTAAAATTTCATCAGTAACATTGTTTTTGTGATTCATAGTTGTCCTTTTTAAATCTATTTTTATTATAATTATTTTAATATCACATTTGTTTTTAAATGTTAACTGTTGAATAAAAGATAGAAATCAAAAGTAAAATAGTAAACGCTAAAAGAGTTTGTGAACAACATGTTCTACTGGTCTTAAAAGAAAACTGATAGGCACTTTTCCTTCACAGGATCCTATGGTTTCTCATTATTTTCGTTCAATGAATGGAAAGACTGATTTGACTGATTTCACTCATTGTCCTTCCCATTCACTTGGTCTTTTCATTCAATCAGGGCCACCATCAGCTGAGCACAAAACAATATTTTTGCTGAGTCCTTCCCCCTTAATATTTCATTTCATTGTATATGATATTATTGATATATTAGTGCAATGCATTTTTATGAAACAGGAAGTTTTTTCTGGAAGTTCGAAATAAAAAAGTAATAATAATTTTAGAGTAGTTTTACCACCAACCTAAAAAGTCTTCCAGTTTTATGGTATATTTTACATTATTAATTTCTAATTATTTATTATAGGAAGAAAATAAATTTTATTCAGGGACATGCAGTCCACTTAAAATAATGTTTAGGAACAAAAGAAGTGACAGTCTGGCATAAAAGGTCATACAAAAAATAATTAAATTATAGGATTATGTAACCTTAAAATGAAAATAAAGGTTAAGTATAAGTAAACAAATTAAATTAATAGACAAATATATATGAATGGGTTTACATACTTACACTGATAAGCAATATAGATAATATATTGATCATATATTGATAGCTATAAAAAAAACAATAAAATGAGGCTAACAACAATAAATTACAAAAATTTAATTCTTACATATATTCAGAAAATTAATTGCTGAGAAGATGTAAGTAATTGATGTTTAAATGAAGTTAAAGATGAGGATTTGCATATGGAGGTAGGTATGGAATTCCAAAACAACATAGCCCGTATGACAAAGATTTGTTAAAAGAAACAATTCTATAAATAGGAATCTACAGGTGGGCTGAGATTTCATGTTTAAAGAATCGAAAGAGGAAGGAACAAGAGTAATCAAATCAAGATGGTAAGAAGGATTTTTAGTTTTAAAGGTTTAGAAAAGGAATACATCTAAGAAATATTGCCATCAGAAAACTGGATATAGCCACTTTTAACTCAGCATAACACTGGAGACGTGGGAGCACATGGGTATTCCAAAAATGAATCTAATGAAACAATTCCTTATATTTGCATTATAATTTTATTTGTTTAAATTAAATAAATGTCATAAATAATATAATATCCTTTGTTATTGACAGCTCTTCGATTATTAACTCTACTTCGTGTAAGAGAAGTGCTCCAACAGCCTCCTGTAAGATGTAAATCTTTCAACATTAATAGCAGTACAGAATTTAATGAAAAGGTGAGAAACAATTTTTTAATCAATTAAGCATTGTTCATACTGAATACGATTTGAAAAGAGAGTATAGGTCAATGAGTTGCCTAGAGTTTGTTTGATTATTACGATTTTGGTTTCCTTAATAATAATAGCCTTTATTTGTAACCATTTAGATATTTTTATTATTTGCATTATACTTTATTTTTTACTTTCACTTACCTATATATGAAATGTGTAGTAAAGAAAAATATTGTGATCGTGAAATTTTTTTAATCAGAGTTTTCAATGGAAATATACATTTTGAGATCCCCTGAGTCCAAATATTCCAGTCCTACAAAATGGTCTGTGGGTGTGTGTGTAGTATGTATGTCAAGAGTCTAGCTCAAAAATGAAAAGTCATATGAAACTGAAGATATATTTAAGTTAGGTATATGCCTTGGATGTTACAGTAACTCCTAAAAATCCTTAACCAGAAGTGCCACTTTATATTATCAATTTTACATTTTTTTTTCAAAAACGGCTCTAACAATTTTGATTAAATTTATTATATATACAGATGGCTCTGTAACTGCCTAAGGCTTAGGAACAGGCATCTATCAAAAAGATAACAAAGAAAAAGACTCAATACCTCTATAGCAATTTGCCATTATGCTCTAAACCTACTGCGTAACAAAGTGACTGGGAAAAAGATTATAATCTATATTGACAGTCAGGCAGCAACAGGTGCTCTAAATAATTATACTGAAAGGTTGTAAAATAATGCAGCATAGCACTTAACAATCTGACTGAGCTTAATAGAGCTGCAATAGAGTGGGTGCTTGGTCATTCGGGCATTTTAGGCAACGAAGAAGCAGACAAACTAGCCAGATTAGGCTTAGATACTATTTCTATAACTCCTGAACCTGTCTGTGGAATCAGTCTCAGTACTGCCAGAAGAAGGATTACGGAGACATATGGTGAAAAATTTAAGCAACACTGGACTGAGAAGAAACAACAACATTCGAAGCTGTTCATTAAAGGTACATGTGGTAAAAGAAGTAAACTGCTACTGATTCTGGATAGAGCAGCTCTAAAAAAGCTTACAGCGAATTACACTGGCCACTGTAAGTTAAATTATCACATGTTCAATCTCCGAGTGACGACGAATCCCGCCATGCAGATTCTGTCAAGAGGAGAATGATATAGCCTTTTACATCGTTTGTCGATGCGATAGATTTTCAAGGCTTAGACAGGAGCTATTTGGGGAAGAACGGAAGAATCATCCCGATAGCTGAGACTGTCAATCCAACAAGCCTATTAAGATATGTGGAAGCGACCAAACTAACGTTATAAGAATAAAACGGACTGCATAATGGCGCACAATAGATCCATTACAGTCATGGTGCAGTAAGCTAATGGAAAAACAAAACAGAATACCGGGATTTGGGTGTGAGGAAGGTATCATTATTCTACTTTTATTCACAGAAAGATTGGCTGTTTATACACGTTGATTCATTGTATTCTATTATCCAAGTCAGGAGTCTCCAAACTACGGCAAAAGGTTCTTTCATTTTAAAAAAAAATTTTAAATCTGGTGCTGTGCGCACATCACAAAACTTACATTTACGAACCTTAGAGAAGATAGGTATTTTCATAAATAGAGAAGTCTAAGTGAAAATGATGGTATAACTTCATTTAATTTCAAAACAAAACAAAACCATTAATTTCAATGCTTTTCCCACCCATCGAATCTGTTATATTTATCAGTTTGCATCACCTTACATTTCCTTTTACGACTGTGTATAGTACCAAATAATACTAATGATTAGGGGGAAATAGATATTTTGGAAAAATTCTGAGCTTTATAGGAAACATTTATCACAAAACTCGTCGAAAAAATACTTAACGTTAGTAAATATTGCATAATATTAGTAGATTCTCAACATTTTGCATAAAAACTTTTTTGAAAATAATGGAAGAGTGATATCATCAAGTTACTCACAATATCGGGGTATCGGGTATCTGTAAAGGGAGAGGATTGGCAAAGGTCGGGTGTTTTCGACTAAACAACCGAGCTTCCTACATAGCTTATATCAAATAACTTCCTATCCTTATTTTCCTATCCTTATTGTCCCCTTGGTGGGTGTATTTAGCTGCTGCAAGATATCTAGAACAGAATTGCCGAGCTGAGTATACCGAGCTTCCTACATAGCTTATATCAAATAACTTCCTATCCTTATTGTCCCCTTGGTGGGTGTATTTAGCTGCTGCAAGATATCTAGAACAGAATTGCCATAGAGGCAGCAGTTTTAGTTTATTCTTGTATATTAGGCAGGTCCTGGGGTATGTGGGTACAGAAATAATACCGTACCCAGGCATACTCAATCCCCTTGATCCTGCCTTCAAGTAAATAAGGTTCAACTATTAGAATAATATCTATATCCTTACCTTTTAGTTACTGTTGCAATACACCACAAACTGTAATGTAGTGGTGGATATTCAGCAGTTTCATAATTTTTTTTTTATATATTATTTCCAGGAGGTGGTTTTCCAGACGAAGTGGATGTTAGGGTTCCACCATCAGACTCAGTTTTCACTTTGTCTTTTGGTTTCTCCCCACCGCTTGACTTCATTAAAGCTTTCAATCCTTTAGCCGGTTTTGAGGAGTGTCCCGAGGCCAAGGTCTGGCCCCCAACCCGTGAAAGTGGCAGGGATTCATTTCTGGATCCTTTGGCTTAGCCACGCTTCTTGACACGGCCGACGGCCTCGAACCTGACCTCGATCTCGATGCACTCCTTATAGAAGAGAGGGATTCTGTTTTCTTGAATATTTCTTACCAATGCTTTCTAGATTAATATCCAGATCCAGAAATATTTATTTATTTATTTTTTTCATTTAATTGATATAACTAAATATTTAACCGTAAAAGCATACATAATAATTCATCAATATTAAATTATATTCAGTTAAATTTAACTTTGAATGAAGAGCCCAGAGAAGATCTTTTTTGTCCGAAATCACAAAAAAAAAAGTTTTTGGGTGGAAAATTGCAAAAAACATCCATTTTAGTGCAACATTGCAAAATAAATCAAAAAAGTTCCTACATGATTTTGTATTTAAAATCTATTGCTCAAGATCGTCATAGATTTTTTGAGATCTCACTTATCGCTTAAACAGAAAAAAAATTATAAATCCATAAAATCCGGCCCTCAAAAGCATTACAGGCTGTTCCCACAAGCTTATAATAGTCACTGAAACACTTGAAAAAACAACTGAAAAAACTGTACCTTTCCAAAGATTGGCATGAAAATTCCCATGACCATAATTAATTTGCCCGACCTAATTATCAATACCGAATTATTATTATAGGTAGTCACCAACTGTTGTTTTCATTCTCCAATAGTACCTTCTCACAATATTGTTTTAATTGATTTGGGTTTTCCAAATTCCTTTAAACATATTTGGTTGTTTTTTTAGATTTGAAATTTTAGTGCTTTAAATTTATACATTTTAAAAACCTAGTTTTGTTGACATTAATATATAATAAAATATCATATATCTAAGTTATGCATGTTGATTATTTTAGGTTATGAATTCTGTTGTACCCGTAGTGGTAAACTTTCATGCAGAGTGGTGTGACCCCTGTCATATTCTTACTCCAAAACTAAGAGACCTCCTTGAAGGTTCTGAACAGGTAATATAAAAATTATATTTATTAACTTCCCTGCTCAATATTGTTTTGTGTTTTTCATTGATATTACTGAACTCACAAGTAGCCTCTTATTAATATTATAATGTTTTCAATTAAATCTTCAAATTTTCCAAGGGTATTTTTAATTAATTAATAAAATCCATAATTTCAAGGAAATAACTTATTAAACCCTTTCACCTCTTCTCAATTCTTGAATTCATTTTATTTATTACAACGACGTTTCAGGTAACTTTGCCCATTTTCAGGTCAAACTTTTTATCTAAAATATTACAATATATTAACTACATTAAATATCTGAAAAATATGCAACAGAACGTACAATAACATGGATGATAAATAGTCAAGACGCAGTCATTATACAAATTTTTTTATTTGTGCCAATGCTTCAACCTAAATATGTGGGTCATCTTCAGAGCATGGTTCGAGCACTGAAGGCTTTCAAGTACTGACACATTGTAGGTAAGTTTGATGACTTATCTACCAAATGTGTCAGTACTTGAAATCCTTCAGTGTTCGAACCACGTCCTGAAGATGACCCGCATGTTTGGGTTGAAACGTTAGCACAAATGAAAAAATTCGTATGACTGCGTCCTGACTATTTATCACCCATGATATGTAGAACAGTCGACTAGCTTCCTTCAATAACAATCTATATTCCCAAAAAATCAACTTAATGAATATACTTTTTACTTACATCCTTATCTTATCCTTCAAATCATTATTTCATAACTATTTATGAAAAGTCCATTACACAATTTAAAAATACTGCAAATTTAACATTACATCTCAAATAAGAAAAGGCTAAACCACTAATTTTTCAACATTTTACATGGTAATATTTTATAAATTATTTTTGGACTCGTCTCACTAGTTAAAAATTATTTTTATTAAAAATTTTTTATATCCTTATGTCCGCTGTGGGCTTATATATTATCATGCACTTTGAGATTAAGATTACTGCATTATTTTAAAAATATTTTTTCATTAAGGCACTTATTACTTTTATTAGCATTATTTATCTCTTGATAACTTTCATACCAAAGCCTCATAATATATTTATAGGGGTAAATATTATTACATAAAATTTTTAAAATTCCAGTTTTTATTTCTTTTAAATATTTTTCATCAGTTAACATTATAGGTTTTTACTTTCACTTATGTATATATGTAATATATAGTAAGAGTAAGTATTGCGATCATGAAAAGTTTTGAATCTGGGTTTTCAACAGAAATACACATTTTGGGATATCCTGAGTCCAAATAACCAAGTCCTGAAAAATGGTCTGTGTGTCTGCGTGTGTTAGCAGTCTAGCTCAAAAACGAAAAGTTGTACAAAACTGATATTACGTATTTACGATAGGTATATGCCCTAGATATGACAGTAACTTTTTCTTTAAAATCAGCTAACCGGAAGTGCCACTTTATATCAACGCTGAAACACATTTTTACAGTTTTCTCAAAAACGGCTCTAACGGTTTTGATTAAGCTCGGTGTATCATTGTATAATTAAGTGATCTTTAATATCATTTAGGTCTTATCTCCATTTATGTCACTTTACTAGGCTTAAATGCCCAATGTTAATATGCGTCTTCCTCTAAAGTACCTTTGATATGGTTTCTTTTAAATAATTAACTATCTCATTATTAAGAGTTACGAAAAAATACTAAATATAACTTTTGAAAGAATTTCATAATTGAATAAAGGAGACAAAAATAAAAACGCTTATCCAGGTCGAAAATAAATCTCCGAAAATACTAGTAAGAAGGTATACGTATAATATATTGTTGGAAAGCGGAGAATTTTAGAAAAAATAATATCTGATATAGAAAGTTGTAAAAAGTAATGGAGAGTGGCAAAAAAATTATAAATAATAATTTTTGAAAACTAATCATGTTTTCAAGGAAATTAAATGAAATTTACTAACTAAATGTAAACTTTTAAAATATTTTTAAGTTTGAAAATAAACACCAACATCCTTTCACGTATCTCATCTTCTAACAGTTATTCAATCCTCTCGCCCATGAGTCCTACTTATTGGCCAACATCACTCAAAAAACGTCCCGATATCCTAGATATATTTATCACCTCCCAGATTTCCTTCTCACAAGCCTTAATCAAATGACTCGATGACCTTTCTTCAGACCATAGTCCAGTGCTACTTTCACTGCATTCAAGCTATGCTCCTAAACCATCATCTAAATTTATTACAGGACGAGTAAACTGGGACAACTTTCATGATGACTTGGAAAACAAACTAGACTTGAAAATTCCGCTTAAGACAAAAGAAGACGTTAATGGTGCCATAGAAAAACTTACATCAATAACAGACAGTATAAACAGTAACACCTTTAACAGTAAGAATAACAATTTACAAAAGACTAACTTGCCACAGCATATTCGTATCTTATTAAAGGAAAAACGCAGAGCAAGATTGAAGTGGCATAGAACTAGATATCCAACAGATAAAACTCTTTATACCCAACTGACTAACAAACTAAAATCAGAAATTAGGAAATACAAAATTCAAAATTTACTAAATTTTACTGAAAAACTTACACCTACCGACAAATCACTGTGGACGACGACTAAACGGCTCCTGAAATTTAAAGACTTTAATCATCCACTTCTTACTGAAGCTCAAACTTGGTCCAAATCTGATGAAGAAAAATCCCAAATTTTTGCTCATCACCTCTTCAAAACTTTTAATCCACATCCTGATATCCTTAATCCAAATCAGCTTGAATGTATTGAAACAGAACTGGATATTCCACTCCAAATGACTCCTCCTCCTAAAGCATTTCATCCTTCAGAAATATCCAATATTATTCACAGATTACCCTCCCGCAAAGCTCCTGGCCACGGCCTAATCACTTCCCACATTCTTAAGCTACTTCCTCGAAAAGCCATTCTATTCCTTACTTACATTTATAACGCCATACTCCCTTCCACATATTTTCCTGACCCTTGGAAACTATCTGTAGTCAAAATGATACATAAACCCAAAAGCCACCAGAATACCCATCCTCTTACCGTCCTATCTCTCTTTTACCCATCATGGGCAAAATGCTGGAGAAGCTCATCTTAAAACGCCTGTATCCCATAATAGATTCTAACCACATAATCCCTGATCACCAATTTGGATTCCGCACATCCCATTCCACTATCCAGCAATGTCATCGTGTGGTAGACGTCGTCTCCTCTGCATTGGAGTGCGGAATGTATTGCACTGGAGTTTTTCTCGACGTTGAACAGGCGTTTGATCGAGTCTGGCATCCGGGATTGCTTTACAAACTCCGTAAATTCCTTTCCCCTACATATTTTCTTATCATCAGTTCCTATCTTACTGATAGGCACTTCAAAGTAAATCACAATAATACCTATTCATCCCTCTTTTCTCAATCTGCCGGAGTTCCTCAAGGTAGTATCCTTGGTCCTATCCTTTACACAGTTTATACAGCTGACATCCTAACACTGTTATTACCACGTATGCCGATGATACATGTGTCCTATCCGTTAATAATGACCCAACCATTGCATCCCAAACTCTTCAATCACACATCACAAGCCTTGAAGAATGGTGTCAAAACTGGAGGATTAAAATAAATTCTAATAAATCCCATCAAATCACCTTTACCCTTCGACGTAAACCTATGACCTCATGTCCCACAGTATCCTTTAATAATACCCCACTTATCCCTGTTGAACAAATCCGATACCTTGGACAAACGTCTAACTTGGAATCCTCATACCAGACTGAAACGACAAGAAACCGCTTGACATTTCCGACTACTCCAACACTTACTAGACAAACGCTCTAAACTATCCATTAATTACAAAAGACTCATATACTTGACTATAATATGACCTATTTGGACTTACGGAGTTGAGCTATGGGGCTCCACTAAACCATCGTTCCAATCCAATCCAAAATCCTTCGTAAAATCCTCAATGCTCCTTACTTTGTCACTATTAAAATAATCCATAAAGACCTCATTGTTCCATATGTTTTCGATTTGGCCAAATCCAGATACCTATCCTTCCATAATAAATTTCATAACCATCCGAATCCTCTTGTTTCTAACCTTGCTTCCTCTTCGATTCCTGATAACCCTCCGAGGCGTCTGAAAAGAAGATGGCCTCGTGATCTTCTCATGCAGACAAATTATTAGAGTGCTACCAGTGGGTAGTTTCTCAACAAGCGTGTTTCATGTGATAATATTTCTCTGTACACATTTACTTGATGTATTCATACTAATACAGTTGTAAATATCATAATAAAAGTTTAAAAAAAAAAGTTTGAAAAAAGTATTTAAAATCCACCTAATCAACGCAATGACATTGTTTAAAAAACTATTTCATTGTACTAGTGTGAAAGAATAAGTAAAATATAAAATAAATTCATGGATGTATAATCCATATGTTTGTAACCTTATATACATTTACTGTAGTTTAATAACTCTAGATCTGATATTATATTTAAATATTTCGCTATCTATCGTCTGTTCATTTCAAAAAATCATCATGTAACTTTTTGGAAAATTAAATTCGTGAATAGTTTGATGAAATCTCCTTTTGTGATATTCCAACAGTATCCACTTACAATTAGTGTGACAACTTTTGACCTGTCTATGACAGGCAATGCAAATCTCTTAATTCCGTTTTAGTAATTTTTGCAATGGAAAATAATTGTTTAATAACTAATAGTCGTACAATCCATAATCAACGGATCATGCAATCCATAATCAACTTATTGTACAATCCATAATCAACCGGTGATATAATAAATAGGACTTTTATTATTTTAATGGTAATTATGATTTGTTAGCTGTAATTTTTTAGCTTTAGCTCGGTTAAAAATACAATTAAAAATTTCATTAATAGCCCAACATGGCCAGAAAATAATTTCTATTCAAAGTTGAGCGGTTAGTGAAAGTTGTGTGTTGACCGGAGCAGATTTTTTTATTAGGTTTTTTCTGTATTTTTAATTTGATGCTTTGGATGATTTGAATAATAATTCAAGATTCTATTACTGCTATTTTCTGTCCAAAAAGTTTTTATTTTATTTTTATCTAATATTATTTTTATATCTAGATATCTAATTTTATTGTTAATTGGTTTTTCAACCATAAATATTATTTTTTATTAACATTATTCTATAAATTTAATATGACCATAGCAATATAAAATTTGGTGGATATAACAATAATAAATTAAACAAATTATGAAATTTGCAAAATTTAATAAATCAACATAAAATAAATACTACAAACCCGAAAAATATCAATGTCACATCTCTAACAAGGCATATTATCATGAATAGTCATATTTTTGATTATGATAAAATAAAAATTCAACCTTTTCCAAGTCAAATTCAACCTTTTCCAAGTCAAATTCAACCTTTTCCATTTCAAATTCAACTTTCGAATTTTTGTCAATTTTCGATTTTTTTCTAAATGAAGGCCACTTACTATATTATCGAAGGCATAGCTTTTGAAAAATACAAACAAAATTTTGATAACGCGGTTGCATATCCATTTATTTTAACATTTTAGATTTTTTCAGTGTAATATTTCTGTGTCATATTCAATTATTTCCAAGTAAAATTCAACCTTTTCCAGATCAAATTAAACTTTTTCCAAGTCAAATTCAACCATTTCCATTTCAAATTAAACCTTTTCCAATTCAAATTCAACCGTTTTCATTTCAAATTAATGTTTTAATTTTTTGTAAATTTTATATATTTTTTTTAAATAATGGCCACCCCTTCCCCCCTCCTATGAAAGTCTATTATTATGCTCTCCTAAGTAGAATTTTCACTTATGGATATCGATTTATTCTACCTATTTGGATTTATTAGGGACTAGTATTATGCTGTCCTGTACCTAGTTTTTAAAATAATCTCCATTTTAAGATTACGCCACTGTGTTTTGACTTATTTAAGTTCTTAGAATTTATCCAATATAAAGGTCTACTTTTATGTTTCCGGAGCCTTAGTTTTTAAAACGACTTACATTTTAAGATTAGGCCACCACCTTTCGATTTCTTAAAGTGTTTTGAATTATTTTCATAAAAGGGTGTATTCTAATGTTTCAGGAGCCGTAGATTTTGAAAACGACCTCCATTTTAAGATTAGGCAACCGCGTTTCGATTTCTTTAAGTGTTTCGAATTTTTATCATAAAAGAGCGTTTTCTTATGTTTCCGGAGTCGTAGATTTTGAAAATGACCACCATTTTAAGATTACGACACAGCGTTTCGACTTATTCAAGTTTTTCGAATTTATCCAATTTGAAGGTCTACGTTTATGATGCCGGAGCCTTAGTTTTTAAAACGACTTACATTTTAAGATTAGGCCACTGTGTTTCGGTTTTTTTATGTGTTTTTGATTTTTCCTTGGAATAAAAAACAAAATAGGAAGGATTAATTTATTTTTCAATAAATAAATATAAATACCTAATCGAAATAAATTAAATATGTATTGTCTAATTTTTAATTTAATTTTAGTTATCTTTTTTAATGTTGTGGTCTCCTGTAACAAAATTATAAGATTTCGAATAATTAGCTGAAAAATCTGAATACGGTAGGTTAAATTTATTACCAGTTGCTTTTCGGCTTTTTAGTTTGTATTCTGTGGTTAATTTAACTTTAGCTTCATAGTATTTATTTATTTATTCATACTCGAAAACATATTGATGAAATTTTGTATTGAAAAAATCCAAAATAAAGCCTAATTAATCGAGATGCAGCGGCTTAATCATAAAATGGAGATTATATATTAGATAAATTTAAAAGCAAAAAAAAAAACTTTTATAATCCAAAACACAGTGGCATAAACTTGAAATGGGGTCATTTACAAAATGAGGGAAATCTACTGCTCCAGAAACAGAAAAGTAGACCTTTATATTTCATAAATTCGAAAAACTTAAATAAGTTGAAAAGCAGTGGCGTAATCATAAAATAGAGGTCATTTTCAGAATCTACGGTTCCAAAAACATAAAAGTAGACTTTTATATTGGATAAATTCGAAAAACTTAAATAAGTCAAAACGCAGCGGCGTAATCATAAAATGGAGGTCATTTTCAAAATCTACAGCTCTGGAAACATAAGAATACACCCTTACATCGAATAAATCAAAAAAACTTAAACAAGTCGAAACGCAGTGGCGTAATCTTAAAATGGAGGCCATTTTCAAAACATACGGCTCCGGAAACGTAAGAATACACCCTCAGATGAAAAAAAATCCGAAAAACTCAAATAAGTCGAAACGCGGTGGCCTTATCTTAAAATGGAGGTCGTTTTCAAAATCTACGGCTCCGGAAACATAAAAGTAGACCTTTATATTGGATAAATCCTAAGAACTTAAATAAGTCAAAACACAGTGGCGTAAACATAAAATAGATGTCATTTTCAAAATTTACGGATCGGGAAACATAAAAATACACCCTTATATCGAATAAATAAAAAAAACTTAAACAATTCGAAACGCAGTCTCGTAATCTTAAAATGGAGGTTATTTTCAAAAACTACTCATACGATAACAGACCAACACATCGAAAAATTAAAGATAATTAAATAAATAAAAAAAGGTTGAAATTGACTTGGAAATACTATATATATACATATTATATATAACTAAAAATGTTAACATGGCTTTTATATAAAATAGTTATATATATATATATATCAGCAATATTTTGTATATAAAAAGTTATATATAAAATATTATATATAACTAAAAATGTTAACATGGCGGCATGGCGGACCGATGACATTGACTTTAGTTAGTTATTTGGTCACTGAGAATCAGCAATTTGGCTTAATTTCATCATAGTTGGTATTTTATTAAAGCTGGATAGTCAGAGAATAATAAAACATGAAAAAATGTTAAAAGATAATGGGCTTAGAAAATATAAAAAACAGTAAATTCAACTTTTTTAATAAAAAAATTTTCAAGTTGAAAATCAAGCTTCATTTGTAAATAAACGGCCAACAATAACGCAAAACATGATGAAATAAAACATCTGGAGAATATATTTATCTTTCTAAAACACTGATTACTTTTTAAAGTATTTAAGCGGTTCCATAGAAAATCTATAAAAAAAAAAAAAAAAAAAAAAATGCTTACCGACCTTCGGTAGTGCGGAAGCAAAAGGAAACGGCCTTTTCTGAAGAGAAAGCAGTAAATGTTTAAAACTCTATAACTCTGCAACGAACCGTCCAATTTCGATGATTTTTTTTTATTTTGTCAGCAATTCAGCAATCAAAGGTATTATCAATCAAAAATTGTATATTTTTTTAGTTATCGTCAAATAAAATATTGAATTCATCATAACATTTTTCAGCTTGTTTTCGGGAAAGTATGTTATACACATAAATTAAAAGGGTTTCAAGGGGAAGACTTTAGCCAAGTTTCGTTAAAATCGGTTAAGCCGTTTTGGAGCTGCAGTTTATAGCGACACATTTTTTGCGGCTTTGAACAGAAAAACATTTACATTTTTATTTTTTTTAAATATATGAAATTATCGTAAGACAGAAGTACTATGCCAGAAACCTTCCCAGGAGTGTATGGTTGTATGGATCGGTTGAATGGATTAGTAATGCACTAAGGACAAACAGACAGACAGACATACATTCATTTTTATATATATAGATATATATCAAAATAACAAAACAATGTCATCAGACTGCTAATACACTGCAATGCAGTTGCAAATGGCTTTAAAGTATGGAAAAAAAAAGTTTTCTATTATATATAAGATTAATTAATTTAATATGTTCCATTACAGGTTGACTTGGCAATTGTAGATGTTGAATCTAATGCTGATCTAGTTCATACTTTTGAAGTGAAAGCTGTTCCAGCTGTGATTGCTATAAAAAATGGACACGTTATTGATAAGTTTATTGGCCTTGTTGAACATGAAGCAATAGTTGAACTTGTTAAAAAACTTGTAGAAAACTAGTTTTAAAAATTAAATAATGTTTTGTATAAATTATTATATAGTTTTGTATTTTCACATCTTAACTTTCTGATGTTGGGTTGTTATATTTAGAAATTTAATTATACTGTTTATTTGTACATTAACATATTCAATGGATATTTTAATAACCTACTCATCACTTTTTGTTCCTTATTACTTTAACTATTTTTTTTTTTAAATTAGATATATTTATTGACATTTGTTAGAATTATCTTTTTTATGGAAAATGGGTTAGTTTAAAGTTTAATTAATTTTATGTCTTTATATATGCCATACATGATTTAGAATATATACAGTAAATCTTTGTATTTTACTATTTGAGGTGATAATTAAAATAATTTAATTTTAAATAAAACATATTTATGGGAAGTATTAACTGAGTGTTTATAACAACATATAACATTTCTACATCAATTTCTTCTTACTAGGATGATTAATATTTTATTGTTTTTGGTTTTTGTTTTTTCTCTTCATATCAAATTACGTTTTTGTTCATTAAATTAATTATTAATATCCTCACTCGATGATTCTCAGGGATTTTTTTTTGTTCTTGTTTTTATCTGCATTTGTCACTTAAGTATATTTCTTTCTTAATCCTTGTATTACTTCTTCATTTAAAAAATATATAATACTTCAGTGATCTACAGGGTTCCTCTTTATATATTATACTTTTTTAAAGTGCTCACAAAAATATGAATTACAGATGATAAATAAAAACGAAGAAATATACTTAAATGACAATTTTTAAGATGAGAATAAAAAAAAATCAAATCAATGAAGATTGAGTGAAAATAGCTAAGCAAAGACACGTGTATTGAAAATTTAATTCAATATAGAAATATCATTTCCATATCACTGGGGCACGTACATTAATTTTCAATTTTTATTTATAGATGATTGCATTGTACCTAATTAGAAAAACACAAAAAGACCTTATTTTTTCTTATTTAAATTTTCAAAGAAAAGTTGCTTTACAGAACAATGGAGAGGATGGAGTAGGTGGGTGGATTTAATATCTCATAAGTCACAAACTGCAAATGCCTAGCTGAGTTATAGTATTTAAGTTATAATAATTCGCTTAATATGTTTTATTACCTTTTATAAATAAATATAATTCGCTAGCTATAAAAATATAGAAACAACGCACAAGATTAGTATTTTTTATCTCTCTTTAATTTTAAAATTTTGTTTAAGTTCCAGGTGAATAACTTAATTCACCATTTAACATTTTATAAATGTGAAAAACTAACTTAATTCCAGAAAAGAACGGCATTATTGGAATTACATGTATTATCAAAAACTAACATGATTATCTATTTTTTAATAACATTGTTTAATTCTTATAAACATTTTCAAATGAAATGGAAAAGGTTAGAGTTGACTTGGAAATGCTATATTTTGTTTACACTCTGTTCTATTTAAGCTATTAGGCTCTAGATGGACATTATCTTACATAATGTTTCATGTTTAATCTTAAATACACTAAATTTCTACTTTCCTAATGTTATTTATGTAATTTATTTATTTTTGTTTATGTTGTTTAAAGTCCAGCTTTATTGAAGTTATATACTATATACTAATACATCTGTGTCAGTGTATATATATATATATATATATATATATATATATATATATATATATATATATATATATATATATATATATATATATATATTGTATAGTTTAGTAAACAGTATTTATTCCAATTAATGTGAATTATAAAATCCTATTCTCTTTGTAATTAACAGAATCTTTGCATTCTTGACCAAATATTTATGTTCAATGATGTAGATGCAATAATATACTTTAAAGAGAAATATTTATCTGTATTAAATTCAATCATTTAAAATTTTTTATTTGTGTTAACTTTTGGATAAAAAAAAAAAAAAAAAAAAATCCAGCTTTTAGTTAATGCAAAAAAAAAAAGACTCAATCATAGAAGTCTCATGAAATTTTAGTACTAAATATTCAGAACCCATGTGAAAAATTTCTTTACTGTTAAAATAAAATAAATAACATAACAATATAAATAATAAATGGGCTGGCTTCTGCCTATCTTATTTATTATTTTTAGAGGAATAAAAGCAATATTTTTTGTGCAATATATTATATCACTTTCTTTAAATTATGTGTAAAGATTTTATACATCTTAAGACACATAAACTTAAGATAAATATAATGTTGATTAAATTATAAAGCTGGAGTTAGGTTATTTAATCCTCTAATGGATAAAATTGTATGGTTTATCTTAGGTATTTTCTATTTAAAAATGATTGTGAAGATAAATTTAAATAAAAATGTTTTAAATACCAAAAAATAAATTTTGTGATATTTCGAGGATTACGGAGAAAATATAAGATAGTCTATTTTATTTTATCAGTTAGCACATGAAGAGATTAACTTCTGTGAAGATCTCTTTATATTCTACTGCTGTCAGTGGTTAATTAAAAATGATATTCACACATAGTCGAACATGAATGTTCCTAAAAAAAAAAATGTACATTTAGAAATTTCAATGAATGAAAGATTATAGTTATAATAATAATTTATCACTGGAATGTGAAAATAACTTGATTTATTCTAGTACTCGTTAGTTCAATTTTTATTTGATTATTATTATTTTAATTTTTTCAATAACTGTACTTACAATTAATTGAAATATAACTAATAGTTTCATCTTCATTTTGACATTAAATTGGGGTTTATCTATTTAAAACTCTATGAATCAAATAATGCCAAATATATTTAAGGTACTATTTTTGTCTGTTATAGTTAATATTGTTGGTATTTTTATTAGTCTTATTTTTTAAAAAAAGTATTTATTAAGATGTAATAAAGTTAATATCTTGAATTTGAAATCTTGTATACATTTAGCGTCCATTTTATGTATTTTAAGTTCAGATTTAGAATTAATTTTGTAAATATTTTGAAATTCATTGATTTATAGATTTTTAATTTCATTTATATTAAAACTAGTCTATTTTCAAAATAAGAAAAACACTGTGTTATGCAGTTTTGATGGTTTTATGACTGAGTCTGCAACTGATAAGAGCTTTTTACTTACTCCAATGTGTACAGTTGATATAAATTAATATTTTGAAATTCTTTCTGTTTACTAGAGATTTCTAGGATTTAAGAAATGTAGTTATAATGTATTGTTCATTTGATGTGCTTATGGTATAAGCTGTTATACCATATCAATTGAAGACTATTTCGGTATTATTACCAAATCCAAACCAGGGTACTAGGAAAACTGCCTTGCTACATCCCTGATTTATAATAAAACATGAAATAATATCATTTATTCTAATGGACAACATAAAGGAACAACATTATGTTCAAATAAAACAAAACGAATAAAGTAACATCGTTTTGCACTTATTTTTAACTAAGCTAAAAATGTTAATGCATATAAATTACACCAATGAAACATGAAAATTCCATAATCCTCATTTTAAAAATGCTCTTTAAAAGCAAATAATTCTTAAAGTATTCATATTATTTACTACTCAACAACATTATTTTAAAATAAACCTTATACTTCATAAAACATTCAATTTTAAAACCACATTATAAATAACGATAATGATGGTGATGAATATCACTGACTGTAAATTTAAACAAGTATAAGTTGGTGAATAATTTTGAAGTAAATCGTGTTCCATTCCAAAGTAAATTTTTATGATTAAAGGTATTATGAACTTCATAGTATTTCTAATTTATATAACTGTTAGAAGTGAATTTATTTTTGAAAGTAATAATGGAACATTGTTAAATATGAGCATTAAAATGAAATATTTTAATTTTGAAGCCTGATCTCTATTGATTTTTAATTTTTTTTTTTCATTTAATGATTATTAAGGACTTTTTCAAAACTCGTGTGTTCATCTAGTTTTAATTAAATCAAACCTATACTTCTGAACAAATTTATCATAGATAATTACAAAATAATATAGTTTATTGAAATATATATTTTATTATTGTGAATTGACAATTATTGATTTAAGTAAGCAAATAATGAAAAATTAAATATAGTGTTCTTCAATTATGTTAAAAAGGTTTTATGGAAAACAAAACTAAATTTGTCTTGATCATGTTTTCTTCATATTTGATTTTGAACCTTTTTCTTCATATTTGATTTTAAACCTTCTTTATAATTTTTTTTTTGTTATATGTAAGTTAATTTATTTTTATACTTATTGTTATATCATTACTCAAAGTTTATAGTAACTTTCTATAATTGGTTTTTATTTATTTATTTTTTTTTTTAGTTTCTACAAAATTAAATGCAGATTACTTTTATTTTATAATATTATAAGGATATATTAAGTGGACACCTGTTAGGATAATTAAGCATATCTTCTTTAGAATGGAATAGTGTTATAATTTTTTTTTCCATGTATTTTCTTTCACAATGAATGAAGCAAAACTATCTTTCTAATAATAGAAAAAAAAGTTCATGCATTAACTGAAAATAATGTAGATAAACATTCACTGTTTCGACTTCTTTATTGACATTTTGTTTATTTTATGTTTATATATTTTTCTGTTATGTATGTTTGTCGAATAGAGCTCCTTGGTAAGTTCATGTGAAGATTAACAAAACAGGTGTCTTGTTATCACTTTATCTTGTTCTTAGATTATATAAGACCTTGACAAATCCTGTGCCTCCTTGAAATGTGATGCTATTTTCTTATACAATTGATAACCTTTATCTTAGCTCCATTTTAACTGTATTCTCTTTTTATCTATAACTGTGACAATCTTGGCATTCAAATCTTAAATTTTCTTTGTTAATTTTTTATGTTAGGTGATAGAATGTTATTCAAAATTATTTTTGTTATTTAGAAAATATAAGATTAATTGACTTAATCTTGTACTTACTTAAAGTATTGTATAAGGAAGTTAAGCTTGTAAGATTATAAGTGTTATGTATATTAATTCTCTTGTTATATTCTCTAATAAATTTAATATTTTATTGCTTTCTGGATTCATGACATTTTACTGTATATAGAAACAATATGGAAAATTTAATTGAACTGCAACAAATCACATCACATTCATTCCTTTCTTTTAACTTTGAGTCATATCGAACGAGCAGTTTCTGAAATATTGGTGTAACTATGAAAAAACATTTACGCTGAAG